TCGCCTGTCCTTTCTGCTTCCTTGAGTACTGCTGATGGGTAGTGGCCTGCTCCACTCCCTGTGTTGGGTTAAGGGAAGGTATTTGGGTCCCAACAATCACCTTGACAATTATGACTTGCACCAGCAAAAACTAAGTGCACACCACTTAACCACATCAAGAATCATGGTGTTGAAATACACAAGATAGTTTGTTCTGGATGAGTTATAAATGGACCCGTCACATAGCAGAGGGCACAAAAACAACTTAACAGTATGCTCCATCATAGCCTTTAAACTATGTATTTTCCTAAGGAAGAAGCTCACTAATATTAGACTATTGAATGGTAGTCAACAGAGGTCTGCATACCACCAAATCCTTTCCATCTTTCCTTGCTTTGACAAGAGGAGAACATAGTAAATCGGGATTCCCATATTGAAACTGCAAATTTTAAAAACGTGTTAATAAACTTATTTGAAATAATAAGTATCAAATAACAAAAATTTAGTTGTATCAATTGTTGGATTACATTACCGCTACAACTGCAGCATCTGCCAGGAAATATAGAAAATCAGCATCATTGTTAAGCTGCATCCATAAATGAAATATCCACAAAAATGATCAAAGTTTGTAAATAAAAAGATCCACGATAGAGTATTAGAGAAAGGGTTGACAACTGCATATGTAGCTAACAGTGTCTTGTTAACTAGTACATGCATAAATGTACACATATATTTTGGTTTATTTTATCAGTGCTGAGAACAGGTACATCTAGGAGTTGGGTCTGTCTGACCACAGAACTTTGAGATATAGGACTTGGTTAAGAAGGAAGGAAACAACAGCCAGAAAATAAATGCACTAATGAAGAAACATGATAAATTCAAAACACAATAGTGTACTGGAATTCTATGCTGCATTATTAAATGATAGATGGGCATTGCATATATTTGTTTTGAACATCTAATTAAAAAATTACATTACATAATTATAATGTATGTGTGTCCAAATAAGTGGGTGAATGCTTAATATGTTAAAACTTATAATCAGACTCTGTAATCATGTTTAAGAAAAGAAAATTGAGGAGATGCATAAATAATATGGCATCTTCATATTATATTGGTAGGAAGGGATAACATATTAGAACACACTCCACAATTCATGCTTTTGGTTATATGAAAATTAATATTTACAAGGAAGCAAAAATGCATACCTCAGCTGCATCAAACAAGGTCTTCACTGTTTTTCCATCTGATACAAGCTTTTCTTCAACAAGTTTCGTGATTTCTTGTAATGCTTCTTTACATTCAGCACCAGCTGACACACCAATCTACATATGAAACCCATAGCAGATACAGATCTCATAAGTCCATAAAATCTATACCAAAAAAAAAGAAGTCACTAAAACCTAAAATGCAGTAGGAGCATGAAGAGTGGCCTTTAGCAAATGAAACTCCATCACTATTGTTCAAATTTCCCTACTGACATTAGCAAAAAAAAATCATTTAGAATAATTTTTTGTTTTTCTCCCAATGTGTACACACATGAAATGTTGTAATGATCTTGCAATATAAACTTTTTCTTCTATGGTTTCCTGATCAGCCCCTAGGTGTTACACTCAATATATGATCATGTAAGTATGGTTTCCTCCAAGAACCCTCCTGTTTTTTTTTTTTTTTGAGAAAAGGTAAGGTAAATTTTATTGAGACAGAAATAATAGTACAAAGGGACCCCCCCCCCCAAGGAGAACACCTTGGTAGGGGAGCAGCCAAATCAAAGCAATATTACAAATGCCATAAGTTCCTAGAATTCAGCCTAGCCCCCAACTGAGAGGCCTGAATCCCCTTTGATGCCGAGACCCAAGAAATCAGCTTTCCAAATGAAATGGATATAATGTCCTCTGGGTCCTTGTAGATGTATGAAAAAGCCTTTTGTTCTTTTCTGCCCAAATGGTACTGATTACTGCAGCCGGAATGGACACCCACACAGCAGAAGCAAGCTTTAACAGCCCCTGTAACACCCAGCTCCACAACATCTCCTTCACTGAGGCTGGCATAACCCAAGCAAGACCCAGTGCAGATAGATGATGATTCCAAATGCTAGTAGAAATAGAGCAGTGAAGAAACAGATGGCTGTTGCCTTCCACATCTTGACCACACATCACACATCTCTGATCCTGGAGTTAAATCCCTCTCATAGATAGATGGGCTTTGGTTAAACACCTGTCTAAAGCTGTTGCCCACACCAGGGCATTGAATTTTGAGGGAGGGGCCGGGTTCCAAATTCTGGAAGCAGCCATGCCTTCCATGTTTCTTTCCGACAGGTGACTGACAAATTACTTGACTGAGAAAAGGCCATCTGTACTCCAGGTCCAGATCCAACTAACTTCTTTGAGAAGATCCAGGGGCTGGGGGGAGATCAGCTCAAGTAGCTCGGCTAGGCTTGCAATTTCCCAATCCTGAAAATGCCTTCTAAATAAAGGGCACCATACTACAGAATTACCAAATACCTCAAAACAGTCTGCAACCACTGCTTGGAGGTCAGCTAGCTGAAATAACTGAGGGAATAAATCTGATAGAGGGGTATTTTCACACCAAGGGTCTTTCCAAAATGCCAGCCTGTCACCCTTCCCTAGTTTAGGACTTAAAACTCTGCTAAAACTAGGATGAATGTTCATTATTTTCCTCCATAAGGAGCAACCTAAGGAGGGGAAAGAAGAAATGGTAATCCAGTCTCCTCTGTCTGTGTTATATTTAGCTGCAATTATACTCCTCCACCAATTGTTCTCTCCATTCCAAATCCCCAGATCCACTTCCCAAGAAGAGCCTTGTTTGAAAATCCTCATCCACTTGATACCCAAACCTCCTTTTTCTTTCAGAGAGCACACCTTATCCCAGTTCACCAAGTGAATATTCTTCCTATCTTCCTCCCACCCTTTCCACAGGAAGTCCCTCTGCAGTTTCTCAATTCTTTGTGCCACTTTCCTTGGTATTGGAAATAAGGAAAGATAGAAAGCAGGAAGATTGGACAGGGAGCTCTTTAAAAGGGTAATTCTACCCCCCAATGACATATTTAGCTTTCCAAGAAGCCAATTTCTTTTCCAACTGTTCTAAAACCGGTTCCCAGATCAGCACCGAAGTGTATTTAGCTCCTAAAGGGAGACCCAAATATTTTGTTGGTATGAACCTCACATAACAAGCTAACCTCTCCGCCAAGGCCTCTATATTAACCACATTACCCACGATCAAACACCACTTGTTCCAATTTACTTTTAGACCCATGTCACCCATCACTATTTCCTTTTTTTTTTTTTGATAAAATAGACCCATCACTATTTCAAACCAACTGAGAACTCCCACCAATAAATCTAACTGCTCTTCCTTGGCTTCAAAGAACCCTCCTTTTTGCTAGTGGTCTCTCATCCTTCTTAATATAAGATATTTTCTCAAAAGATAAGAACAACAATTGAAACTATAAAAACCAATATTCTTATATACAGGTTAAGAATTTAAGACCCTCTGCCCTTGGCATGGACTTGTTTGGGCTTGCATCAAGGGCTTGGTATAGAGGCAGCTCATCGAATTAAGAATACAATATGTTTAACATCACAATAACCACTTGAAGTAATGCAGTTGGAGAAAAACAAAGATTTGAAAATTCCACATGCTTGAATGTTTAAGTGTTTAAAACTGTTCTAGATGCTATTTTTGTTTCTATGTTTTTTCTTTAAATATGTTTTATATGTTATGTTTATGTGTTTTAATTTGAGCCAATGGACTTCTTAAAAAATGTGGTTTCTTTTAAAATTTAGCTTTGCATATTTTTTAATTAATATTATTTTTAATGGTTTTTGTATTTTTTATTTTTTAAAATTTGCACCTTGCTTCAAAAAGGAGCCTGCCTCGAAGCCCTTGTGCTTCTAAAACACTGACTTCAGTTCTGTCAAATCAGGTGGATCCATGCAGACTCATTCAGTCACCTCGGTTGAGAAATGAAGCTGATGTTCATTGTCCAGGTGCCTCCCATGTGCGTTTTGCCAAGGTTTTTGTGGACAGTGCATGTAACAATATTGATTATGCTAGCTATGTAGCTATTCTTTTTGATGAAGACAATAGGTTTTTAGCTGCATCATTAGAAGATGATCTGCCCAGATCACCACTGTTTTCAGAAGCAAAGGCATTGCTCATTGGTTTGTATCTAGCAGCAAAGGAGTGTAAAAGTGAGATCATTATTGCTTCAGATTGTGAGGCTTTATTAAAGCATTTAAGTGACAAATCTATCTATCTACCTAGTGAGATCTGGTCTGTCTATTCTAATATTTTGGCCAAGCAGCACAATTTCTCAGGGATTAAACTCGTCCATGTTAAGAGAGACATCAATGAAGTTGCCCATTTCCTAGCCAGTAAGATGTGTTCCAAAGGAAAATGGTGTGTCAGTCTGCTTGTTCTAATGGCCAATAGCCCTCAGCTTGATTAATGAAAATGTTCATCTTTTTACCAAAAAATAGTTTCTGTATATGATGGATGATGAGGCAGATCCAAAATATCCACTGGTTAGGGGACTCTGTGGATTGGCCACATGCTTAACATCCAGATTAAATCAGCCCTACAACCCACTTTATATTGCTAGTTTTCTAAATGAATATTAGCTAATTTTTTGAGGATGTACTTTTTTTGAGGTCCTTCTGTTTTTGATGTTTACATCTTCTCTTTGTACAAAGGACCTTACATCAATACAATGATACTTTACCTTTGCTCAAAAAAAAAAGAATGAATATTAGCTAATTAGCCAATAAAAGTTATAGTTTTTAATACAAACCTGCACATAGAAAAGGGTTTACTTTGAACTTGTAGCAACATAATTTGGGCCAAAATTTGTTCCACCAATATAGGTATAGGGAGTCCTTTTGGGTTCCAAACAAATTTCCCTTCCAGAAGATTCTTGCATTATTTATTGATAAAAAAAGATTCTTGGGTTATTTAGTGAGGTCATTTAAGGAGCATCACTAAATGAACCAACTAGTAAACCCATTTCCATATATATAGGTTGCCTCATTGAGGCAAGCACTTTTATGGCCCCTCACAACCTTGTGAACACTTGCCTTATAATACTTTAACAACCATGATGCAACTAAACTAAAGGAAACATTTAGGAGTCAAAATGTAATATTATTTGAAAAGTTGGATGTCATAAATCAAATTATTGACGCATGTCTAATTAATAGGCAGGAAAGATATTTTTCCAAAGTACCTGTTTGTCAAAATTAGTAAAGTTGTAAACAGCAAGAACAACTGCAGAACTTGCAAGACTTCCACATGTTAGATGAGGGAACTTTAAACGGAACCATGCACTAAGTGCTCCAGAGTAAGAAACACCGAAAACAAACCAAGGGTTTTCAACATTTGATCGATTCAGCTTTGAATTCAAAGATTCCTGCAGGATAATTATTACTGAGTCATTTAAGAAATGATAAATTAAGAATGGGAACAAGAAATAGAAGGGGAATGAAATATAAAGAAAAGAGCCACTTCTTTTTAATAAATATATAAATGGAGTGGTACAACAAGAAAGCAAAGCCGCTTAAAGAAAGAATTTTAAACAATTTGTATCAAATTCATATCTCTTGATGAGGAAAAAATGGAATAGCATGCATCAAAGTGCAACATATCCAAATGAATAGACTGCTACAATCATCACATATCTGTTTCCAAAGATTATGGATAAGCTCTCCTTTAAAGACAAAAACAGTATCACACTCTTACTGGTATCATACTGAGTTTGCTTGTATTTCTCACCATATTTCAATGTGAATGAAATGCTTAATTTTGGCTTCAAATCCAACCACTGTTAGATCTGCTGTATTGTTTAAATAGAAATAATTAAATATACATAGATATGTGGTAGTAGAATGTGCAGTCAAAAAGTAGCTAACTCGAAAAGAGCTTGCTTGAAGAAAGACATGTAGAAAACTATATCATCCTTACCTGATAATACTGACGAAAAGTAGCCAAATCAAAAAGAGCTTGCTTTGAAGAAAGATATCTTAGATTTTCTGTTGTCAACAAGTTAAAAGGGGAACTCTTCCCATAATAACGATGCTCAAGAGAAACCAAAGCAGCACCAAACTTCTTTGCTAAAACCTGTTTGATGTTACAAGGCTTGTAAATATAAAATTGCTACACTAGTTATGGAAAACAAAATGTTTCAGAGAAATACATAATATTGCAGTAGAGATGCCAAAGTAATTTTATGACTTACATTGGTATAGTCATTAGGAATTCCATTGCACGAGGATTCACCACATATTTTTAAAAATATGGGTCCATCAGGAACCCGAAAGTAGTCAAGGAATTCATAGTAGCGCTGCCCAAATTGACGATGGTCCTGAAAATTTGAGTGCAGCCATCAGGACTATGAGCACATCATACATTTTAACAGAGACTCAACCATCCTTGAGAGAATAAAAAAGCACTACAAACATGTATTTGACCAAAATGAGATCATAAAGGAATACCAAATTTACCAAAATAGTAGATGAAAAGGTCAGAAAAGATCTGTTTAAGATTTCTTTTTCCAATTAGCATTTTGAACTATCCATAAGCTAGAAATTTAACAATGGAATATAGATTTCTGTCATGATGTAAGACTTGTGAGACAACTACGAGTTTTTTGTGCACAAATCAACCAGGTTAATCCAAAAGTCTGATGCATTGCATTCTTTGAACAGATTAATTGTGAAAGGCCTGGAAAAAGTGAGAAAAATCAATTTTGCAAAAAGTAGATAGTACAACCAAGTTTTCTGCTATCTTAAGTCTCCAAGATGAAACTCATTGCCATTGGATCTTGGACAACAATCTTGTGAACTCGTATGCACCAGTACACTGGCTTGATGCCATACTTCACAATCTGGTTTCCAAGACATTATGATGTTAGCATTAGTACATCAAACATTAATAAATCAATTGTATACCCGCAACATCACTTTGCAATAAATCTGCAGCTAAATAAAAATAAAAATAAGAAATAGCACCCTCCTCATTTCAAGACTCCGAAAGAATTGAATGTGATATTATGACATGCAAAAGACATGTATAAAAGTCCTTGTCTGTGATTTCTCAGAGTGCAAATCTCGTGAAGCTGTAGTTACATATGAGCAGGAAAAACGTAAAAACATAGGAAGATCACTTTATGGAACCCAGGCTTCCATACGCAGCAGCAAGACAATGAATACAGAGGAAATCTTTTATCAGATAAAACCCTATTCTTTCAAACACAAAGAATATCTTAATTCTCAATATGTCACTCTTGATCAGATATATTAGGCTCTTTGTCAATTATCAGGAACCTGCCGTTTTAGTGCCAAAGGAGTACGCAGGCATCTTTCTCATAGTCATAGGGTGGAGATCCTGTTAGAGCACGCCTATTTCTTAAGTAATTAAAAATACTTTCAACACTTCGATTCATAGCATCGTTAGTTCAGGTATGTGAATTGGTCATAGTAGTAATTCAACTTTGCAAACTACGGAGCTGTTTGTTTAATGCCTGCCGAAAGGTAACTTGAAGAACATAATCAATTTGTTTGTTTTTCACGTGATTTTTTTCTGATCGTTTACAGATGCTTAAGCAAGATACAGTATGAATTAATAATGTAAATATTCAGGAAACCAATTCGTCTACAAATGAAAGTTGTCGAAAACAAATTAGGAGCCAATTTGAGGAGGGGAGATAGGAAGACGAATTGGAAAAACGTGAGAGAAAAACTTACAAGTGGAGAGAAGTGATCGAGCGTCTGATTGAACCAGAGTTCTTTCTGAGTCAGGTACGAACTGCCATTTGTGATCTCGAACCTTCGAGATTCCACGACAACGTGGGAGATAATGAACAATAGCTGAACAACTACGTAAGCCCTCATCTCCATTTCTTCTTCCTTCACGTCTTCCCTCGTCTAAAATGCATTTATGAAAAAGGGTTTATAGGATGCCCTTACTTATATATACCCTCTCATCGAAACATTTAACGTCAAGGTTGACAGAAAGAAATAAAAAGACAAAAATGCCCTTGACTGTTCATTAAATTTTAAAAACGCGCCCCTCCAGTTCTCCTTAAATTCTCTCATTTTGTGATCGGAGATTTAGGCATCCCAACAGATAACTGGCATGAAATCGATACTCTTTTAGGCTCTAATAATCTTCGAGAGCCTGAGTATGGGGCCGGGCACATCTCCATATTTATCCATTATATAACCAGTGGGATGCCGGTAACCAGTGGCACAATGAAGCAACATATGTGTTCTGACAAATCATGTTTATTCCGTAAACCACAGCCCAAACCAGTGGTTTCTGCAGAGAAGAGTGGTATTCGTATTCATCCATTATAACCAGTGGCACATCTCCATTTCTTTCTCTTTACTTTTTTATTTTTCTATTTTTTGTAAAAGAAATTTTTTTGATAATTTGCTAATTATTTTTTTACAGGGAAAATTTTCAGTTTTACAAAACACAATAAAACAGAGATTTGTAGAAGATGGTTCTCGGGTTCATACGTGAATTGATTCTGCAGTAATCGATCTCCGCCTCAACTAGACAAATTATATACATTTAGTTTGAAAGACGGACTGATCTCCGGCTCTCCGCCTCAACCAGGCTCTTAATTCTGTTTTACTATTTTTTTTTTTTTTATCAGCTTGAGATTTTGTAGAAAAATCAGCAATTTATGGAAGCATTGGGAAACTAGAGGGAGAACTGCGATCGAATTAGTGAATTACCTGATTCTGTTATTCAACATATTCTCTCCTTCTCCCCGTAAAGAATGTCTATGATTCCCAATCTAGATTTCTACGAAGATCAAATTTATGAATTTTATGGACTCAGTTCTGCTTTGTCGTAATGGTGCTGTAATTCAAAAGTTCCGTATTAATTTCGGTGACGATTATTGTGATAGTTATCGTGTTCATACATAGATATCAGGATGATAAATCTAGGGTTTCGACTGAAAGTCGGGAGAAGAAAAAAGCGGTGTTTTGAATGGGGGCAAAATTGGTATTATAAGAAAACAATGTGCATGTGGTGTTGGATATGTAGGGCCAGACAAATCATGTACTGCACCATATTAGCATCCGGTACAGATTAAAAGAAGTCCGGAATAATTAGACAGAAGGCACCTGCGATAGACGGTGGCTCTGTGAAGTCAGTGTAAAGCACCCGCAATATGCTATAAGTGGATTTTACATTGGCGCGTCGCATACATCCGAAGTTCCGAACTTGTCATTGGGAGATGTGTCGTGGGCGCATAGTACCAGTAGGAAACTAGGAATTCCTATGAATGTAAAATGTGTAACAGCCATGGGACATCTATGTGGATGGACTGTGTGAACTGTGCGAGAGAGAAAAACATTATTTAAAGACTGAATCTAAATCTATAGAATATATTTAAGTAGTTTTCTAAAACTATAAGATATATAAATAATTAATCCTTATAAAATCAAAAACAAATGTGGGTGGAGATTATACTCGTAGCCGACCACCGGTTAAACCTCTATGGACCGAATTTACATGAAAACTGGCCAAACCGGATCGCTAAAGTGGACAGCCCTCCAAGTCCCAAACCGGATTTAAATTCATCGAACCTTCAAGTGTCTTTTTGGGAGAGCTGAAGCGGAACAGCCCCCGTGTCCCAAATTGGATTTACACTCAAAGAACCTTAAAAATGCATGTCCGGGAGAGTTGAAGCGGACAGCCCTTCCAAGTCTCAAACTGGATTTACACTTGATGCCACCAGAAAGTGGTGGTCTCTGAATGAGCTTCGTGATTTCTTGTACAAGGAGACAAAGTTAGAAAGCTTGAGGTGATATCCCGGGCTTGTAGTTCTGATGGTCAAGTCAATACCAAGTACTTAGAAGTGATTGAGAATTCAAGGATTCATAAAATATATTGAATGTTCACCAACCCCTTAAATAGGTTTCGATATACCTATCAGGATGTATACGTGTTGGGCAGATGTAGGACACCTGTCATAGCCTTGGAACACCTAGATAGGAATGGCAACAAGGCGGGGCACCCCCTCCCCGTCCCCGCCCTGAAGTCAAAATACTTTGCCCCGTACCCGCCCCATCCCCAATGGCGGGGCGGGGCATCCACTCCCCATCGAAGACGGGGAATCCTCGAATTTTCCCCACTCCAAGGTAATTATTTAAAAATTATATATTTTATGAACAATTTATACATAGGATATAGAAATTTGGGGGTATTTTAGGAATTAAATTATAATACTTTAGGGGTAATTCAAAAATAAAATTATGGGATCCTAGGATTTTAAGAATTTAGGAAAAACTTAGAGATATTTTAAATATCAATATTAAACATAGAGATACTTTACTAATTTACCTTTGGGTTTGGGGCGGGTTCGGGAATTATATATAAAACCCGTTCCCGCCCCGTCCCCGATTTGGGGAAAATATTTTTTCCTTGTCCTTGTTTAGGGTTGGGGAAAACCCACCCAATTCAGGGTGGGGTGGGGCCCTAGCTTTATGGGGGAAATTGCCATCTGTACACCTAGAGCTTGCTTTGCCTCGGTGGAACTCGGGTAAGACACCTGGAGCTTTATCAGGACACCTCTTACTCGAGCTTGGTCACATAATGCTCGATCTAGACACTAGTGGCTTAGTTCAGGCTAGCTAGTACCCGACCGAGACACCTGGGATCCAGTCTGGAGCCCAATTGGTGCTACCTATTTAGCCACCTGGTGTATGGATGTGACATGCAGTGTCGATCTGTCTTTCATGTCTTCAGTGCATGTGGCGGGCCCGAGATTGGTTACCTAGCAGGTTTACCTCACGTGTTGATGATCTTGTTGCATGTACTGCCAGGTAGTCACTCGATGGGCAAATGTAGAGAGAAGACTCTCCTGGAAAAGGAGCTCATCTTACTATGTAAGAGTCCTTTGCGAGGTCAAAGGCCAGTGAAGCCCATATATCCGAGCAGAAGTTGAGGAGTCTGAGGTGAATCTTATCCTTTGAGATGACAGCAAGATGATGTTCTCTGAGCTGAAGATAAGTTGATCAGTTCACTCAAATGTGCCATGTGTCCGATAATTCGGAGGTCGGCTTTATACTCATCAACACTCAAGGACTCTTAAGTGCCTTCTGGGAGGGCTGAAGCGGACAGACCTCTCAAGTCCCAAACCGGATTTAGATTCATGAAAACCGGTCAATCTGACTAGACCTAGACAAATGTAGATTAAGGTTGAAAAGCGGACAGCCCTTCAAGCCTGCCTGGGAGGGATGAAGGATAGCGGCTTGTAGCTTTTTGAAGTGGGCCATACGCTTCGAATTTGAAATTTGTGTGTGTGTGTTTATGAAGATATCATGACATGCTTTCAATTTCTATAGATCTGTGGAGAATGTAAGGAGGTCTAGGATTGTTTAGCATGGTTTTATTTTTGTGAACTTAAAAGTTGTTGATACGTAGAAAGAATGAATTTAAGAAAACATTTTGTGAAGAAGCTTTGATTTTAATGTTTCAGATTTTTTTTTTATTTTAATATATTTTTATAATTTTTATATTTTCTAGATTTTTTATATATAAATGGACATTTAAATGGCTTGGATTAGATTGGGTCCATTTGTAAATGAGATTAGACCAAATTCAATCCAATTGACAGTCCTATTGAAAGTATACAATCCTTCGAACGACTGACTAACAGTCAACTTGGGCTCTCTTGAAAAAACCAAAAGCCAAACATAACTTATAGGCTGATCATGTGGGGAATATCTCCAAAGACTAGAAGCCACTTTGCTTCAGCCTTCAACCCTCGAAATGAATAATGGATCTGCTAACCACAAAACACTAGTCATATCCATGTGCACATAACACAACACCACAGAAGACACGTTGAAAACATATCCTGGTTAATGACAATAAAATGTGATATTCCAATAAAATAGTTCAAGAGATATTCCAATGTGTGGATGTAAATGTATGTATACAACGTTTTGTGGTGAACAGATCCAGTACACGAACCAATGAAAAAAAAAAAGATATACGTTCACTAATTATTCACCTCTCAAATATGATAATAGATGTAAAAAAAAAAAAAAACCTCGAACCAATCAGATCCTCCTCATTAATTTATTTTTTTTGGTATCACATTCATCTCCTAGGTGAATAAATAACTTTCCCATGTGGTGGTGGGGGGAATTGTCATCACTTGAACGAGACAAAAATGCCCCTTTTAATGATGGATTTTTATGGATAAAATGGTCATTGTCTTATTCACATAGGAAATAAAAGAACATGGGTAAATGCACTTACACTGCTAAGACTTTCCTACAAAACACTTACTCAGGTAAATGCATTTACCTGTATAAATAACTTACCAAAAAATAAACGGGGTCCTAGTGCGTTTTGTGTCAAACTGTTACAAATTAGTGTCATACTAAACCCATTGCATTTCAGCCAGGCTGATCTTTTGTTCTTTTCATAATAAAAAAAGAAAACACCGTCCATCAGCCAATACATCTAGAATTGTATTTGGTGTATTTGATCTATTGGCTTATTCAATTGAATCCAATAAATGTGAGTCTCCAATTTTCGAGAAATTAAAAAGGTTCAACTAATACCCGTTTTTGCTCAGGTAGAAATTGAGGCTAAGCAACTGGCCAGTTTGCACCTTGCTTGATCAAAAACCCATGTATTCTGTTAAACTGAAACAACAAAAGATAAATGTAAAAGTGTGAACACTGTTTGAGATCAAAAGCAACCGAATGTTTAAGAACAGAAGAAACCAAGACTGATGAGCGATGACTCCCATTTGTTATGTTGGGGTGTAGTTGTACCAATGGGCTGTAAAACAGTACTCATGACTGGGGATTACTTAGCCCACTGCAAACATCTTGTTTGTAGCAGATCCAGCACCGACGCATAGCGAGCTCAAGGCCCACCAAAAGTGTCATTTGCTTCAAAGACATACATGGGAAGTTTCGTGTCATATGACCTATAAATGTCTCCTCCGCAGTGTGGGATGAGAACCATCAAATATCTGCTCAGTTTTGAGGACCACATACCTGGACTTACTACTACTAATGTAGATCAAGGACAACGCATGTAGAACGAAAAAGCCTCCGCCGCAACTTTACATAGGTTTGGGCTTGAGCTCAAAACTGCGGGCTTTTTTTTATTTTTCAATTGGACCCAGCCAAATTCTTATCTAGGCCTGCCCAATAAACTTGGCCCAGCCCACTTAGACTTGCACCCTTAAAAAGTAAGCATGGTATTTTATAGGGAGAATGACTGATCAGTCCAGGTCAGAATTTTGTAGTCCCACCATACAGGGGAGATGAATCCTGACCATGAATTGATGCCAAATTTATGAACAAAATGCGATTTATAGGGGGGGAGGGGCTACTAATAGACTATGGGGGCTGTCATTCAGAATTCTGCATTGGGCTGTAGAGTACTTAACCCTATTTTCTAATTGGCAAATCCCAACTGTTTATAGGAAAGTATTAAAGCTTTCTAGGGCAAATCTCAACCAAATAACAAATTTTGCACCTGGTCCAATTTTGCAATCGTTTGTTTGTAATTATGACTTGCACTCCTAGGTAATACAAAATTTGTACTTTTTGTTTCATACTGACAGCGCAAGTTTGCACTGTCAATTCTCTCTCATTTACACCACCTTCTTCCTACATCAATTCTCCCTCATTTAAAGTAAGGATAACATCATCGTGCTTTCTTCCCTTACTTCCAAACAAATAATCCTCTCCCTATATCCATTCTCTTTCATATAAGATGAAGACCACATTATTTTACTTCTCACAAATAAATAAGACAAAGTTGAATCTGAAGCAAAAGTAAATTAGAATCTACATTCAGCCTATTTGTACACTTTCGTACATTAACACCATTGCAAATGAAATTCGCACTACAAACAAACTGAATCTAGTGCACATTCTTCTCACAGACAGTCTACACTGAAAGGCAAATTTTGCAGATGCACGAATCCTTCAAGACAACTCATGAAACACAAGCTTGGTGATGGGCTGACTTATTGCACACCCACGGCATCGTAGAACCGCATCATTCAAAACATCATTTGAAGTATTAATGATTTGGGTCACTTATTCAAAACTATTTTACTCCTTCAGAACAAACAATCTTCTTCCTACCCTCACTCTACAACACGGGTAGGAAGGATTTTTACAGGCATCAACAAATAACTAATTGGAAATATTTCTAATATGTATGGACAAACAAACAAATGTTGAGTTGAGTTCACTCACAAAACTTCAAATCCAGTTACACAAAAAGATAGAAAAATTAAACAACAAATTTCAACTTTCTCTAAGAATTAAATTGCGATATCGATCGTGTCATTGACTAAATTCTCCATCATCCAACTTTCCATCTTAGCGGAACAAAGAGTCTTCATGCTCATATCTTGATTCCCTGTACAACAATAAAATAAATGTTGATTTTTTCCTATTATTGGATATATAGTAGAACTAGTGGGAATCGTGCGATGCATGGGATTTGTTAAGTGAAAGATAAACAATATAAATATATAAAAGTATACAATTGTTTTATATTTTTAAAATTTTAAATAATTAATAATTATTTATATTTTATAGTCCAATATAAATAATTATCAATTATTTATATTATATATACTACTTTTAATAATATTTTACAATACAAAAATAACAATAATTAATTTCATCAGTCATTGTTCATCAAACTAATTAAACCAATCAATTTGACTAAATTGGATCAGTTTCACTTTGGCTATCCGAAAATTGACCAAAATCAATACAATCCAAATTGGTTAGTTTTCACTAATGATCTGTCGATTTCGGGTGAACAATTCCCCAATTTGACCAGGTCAATTTGGTTGACCAAACAACTTACAACTGAACCGAACTACCATAAACACTCCTGACCAAAATAATCTTTCTTTGGAGCCAAGAGATGAGAGAAAATAGAGATCATATGTTTCATTCACTTTAATGTAGATCAGGCAAAATTTCAACCCTAATGGAGTTCATATGTTTCATTCACTTTAATGTAGAGTTAGCTGTGACTGCCGGAGCATTTCCTAGTTACCCCCAATAATTTACCAAACAAAAAGTTACTCCCAATAAAAGCACACAGATACGTTAAACCAATAAACATAAATTATTCAATATTTTCAGATGTGTCAGTATTTTATTGAAGGTGGCAAGAAAGTGCCAATCCCATAGGAAAATAGTTGCTTGTGATGAGTTTGGATTGACAAGAGATAAAATCATATACAGCGGGCTGGCCAATTTATGTCAGTGTTCTGTGAGCATAAGGTGTAGGTTCAGTGATGGAGCTTGGAATTTTCTCTTGGGAGCCAAGAGATGAGAGAGAATGGAGATCCGGCAAAATTTTCTCTTGCAAATATTATCCATCTCAAATTTGACTCAAAAGTTTGGTTTGAAAACGTTTCTTTTTTAGTTCAGGGTTGAAACATATGAACTCCATTTAACTTTGGTCTGGCTAAGATTGACGAATTTGTCCAATTCAACCCTATAGAATAAAATAAATAAGTTATTCCAATTTGAGCCCAACCCAAAAATTCCATCCAAACAAATTGGATTGACCCATTTATGAAAAAAAAAAGAAAAAGATTAAGTTAGAGTTAGAGTTAGAATTGGATTGATCCATTTATAAATATAGTTTTATAAATTTGTTATATTATTTATTTTTTATAAAAACATGTATATATATGATGAAAATAATTAAAAATTAAAAAATACTTGTTTTTTTGTTTTTACTTTATTTAAAATAATATATTTTATTTTTTAATAATCTATTAATTTTTAAAGAAAATAAATTGGATCGAATAAGATCTCAGATCCAATCTACCGTCGAATCCTATCAGATCTTATTGGATCGACATAAACAGTGTCGAATCCGCCGATCTGTTTGTATCCCTAAGCCTAACGTGTCAATCCGGCAGAGGCAGAGCTATATGGACAGCAAAAGGTGTCTAACGTAGACGGACAAATTTTTTCTTTCGTTATGTTTTAACTGTTTAAACTAGCTAGGTTTGACTCACTCTCGTTGGAGTGCGGCACCTTGAGGGGGCATGCAGAGATAGGCAGAACGGGAAGCTTATGGCAGTTGCAGATCTCAATCATGTATCCATCTGGGTCGTGGAAGAAGAGCTGATCAACCTCAATCCCTCCGTCCTCCACTACAGTAGTCACATACTCCATTCCCATCTCTTCCAGCTTTTTCTTCACCACCTCTACGTCTGTGCACTGTATATATATGATCAATTTAATCAATATTATATTATATTATATATAAAGCTTAATAAGCGCGACTATTATATATAACATTCATGATCATGAACCACGCTAATTATTTCTTGCCTGGAAAGAAATGTGATTATCTTTTGGATTGATGAAGGGTGGCTTCTTACGAACATCATTAACAGAATTACATTGCAACAGATGTATTCCAATGCCATAGTTGAACAACCTGCAAAAACAAGCTAACTCAGAATTCTCAATCTATTATCATGCTTAAGCTTTAACTGATTCATCGATCAATCGTTGACTTGCTGCTGAAAGCTAATTAAGTTGACCGTTCTTGGGGATGTTCATTCATGGATGAACATAACCTGGAGCACCATGTCAAGAAATCTTAGAACTTACCATGCTCCCTCGAAATCAAAAGAGGAGGGCCTCTTTATTAGGACGAACCCAAGAACTTCCTGATAGAACTTAGCCGTTTCTGTCACAGATTTGCAGAGAAAAGAGACATGGTTGAGGGAGAACAATGGAAGAGGAGAGTTAACAATATTTTCTTTTTGAACAATTCCCATATCGTCTCTCTCTTTCTTTCTCTCTCCCTCTCCCCCTCTTCCCCCTTCCTCGCACTGTGGAAACTGAATTGGGTGGGAGCTCTTTCTCTCTCTGCATGCATTTATAAGGGAGAAAAGTCAAGAGAAGTATTTCAAAGTTTAGGTTTAATTGATCATACACGTTAACTCCATAATAAAGAAACCCTTTTTTTTAGCTGGATCCGAGTCATACAATAATGCTTGTAGTGATTAATCCTACTCTAATTCTATGGGCTTGTCTGGTTAATTCTTTTAAAATAATCTTAATTAATTAGAGCATTCTTTCGATGTAGAAGGGGGGGGGGGTACTGTAATGTCCTTGTCCACCTTTCGCCAGCCGATCTATCGTATATAACTACTTCAATTGTAAGGTAAATATATAATATAAGTTATATAATTAATTTAAATTAAGCTTATCTTGTTTGCATAATCACTGATCACTGATTAGTAAAGAGATTAATCCCTAGCTCAAGTTTTCCATTTGCCACGTGGCAGACATCAAGTGGCCAAAATCTTGCAATATGTACGTGGAATTAACATGGCATTCAAGGATGATACCAGAGAAAAGCTTGTAACCAATGGGTATGGATTATTAAAGTGGTAATCAATCATGTGGTTATTTATCAAATTCATGGGACGATGTTTTGAGTAGTCAAAGTCTTTCAGTTATCATGTCTTAAGGTAGCATAGATGTTTTCATTAATATGAGGAAAACATTTGAGCCAGATTAGCTGCCTCATGTAGAGATTGTTTAACTAATGAAGTAATAATATTAATTATGCCCCATGTCAAGCATTTCAAGTGAGAGACGGAATGGTTTTTTTTTTTCGGAAAAGTATGGACAGGCTCAATGCAGATTTCTGAATTCCATTGTAAACTTATAAATATTCAAAATGTCAAAAATCTTCATTCTATACATCAATGCCCCCGTAAATTAGCATCAATTCTGAGCTGACATCTACCCTAATTGTATTTTGGGCCTAAAACTTCTGACACTAGACTGAACCATCATTCTCCCTTTTTTGTGGGGCATATACACTTGATGAATGATGTGGGGTGTTATTATTAGTTAAACAGCCCTTAACAGGCAGAAAATCCTGACTTAAAAAAGTAATTAATAAATTAACATCTCATATTTTTCTTTCATCTTTATTTTTTTTAAGTCACTGGCTATGTACTAATTTCTTGTTTTTTTTAAGTAATACTAATCTATCTTATACTGTAGATCTGAAATATTGTATGGATACAAGCTTGATTTAAATAACATTGCTCAATTAATTGATTGATCCAGCTATTATAATTTTCTTGATTTTATGATTAATTAAGAGTATTTCCATTAAACATAAGAGGACAGTGGCTAATGAGTCATGAGGACTTAAAATATGACGCATGCATGTGTTGGTGCCTCCATATGCTCCAAGTAAGCTGATTCATTAATATACCTCCTTCCCAAATCGAGTGCAATTGCTCGACCCCAACGCTACATGTGCAGTTGATAGCTGAGCGAATACTAATATATATTGATAATGTAGATTCTTTAATTTGTTTGGTGGATTTCATCAAAACGTTTTTCCAATCTCCTCGAAAGTCTGCCAATGAAATCATTCGTGGCCCAATTGTTTAATATACATGTTACGATTGGAATTGCAGGTTTGATCATTTGGTTGGGAGATCAAGAAAGTCAAATCTTTATAGTAATCTTTAATTTGGTTAAGAAGGATTTGACATGTGGGGGTTTGTTGGATGCATGCCCATTTGATGATTTAGGCTATGTTTGTTTTTAGGGAAAAAGTAAGGAAAGGTATGGGGATTTATACAAGTTTTGTAAAGGTTTTTCTACCTTTCCCTACTTTTTTCTTCAAACCAAGCACAGCCTTGTGGGGTGTTTAACAATATTACTGGTTTTGTTTTTCGAAACAAAAAGCAACTGTCACATTAGCAAAAAAATGGTTTTCACACTTTTGTTTTCAAAGAAAAGCAGTTTTTATTTTTATTTTTATTTTTCCTTAATTTCTTAATTAATTTGCCACATTATTGTGAGTTTCGAAGCAAGGGCCCTATTTGTGGTTAATTTTTTTTTTGAGCTAGAGGCAGATAATCACCAATGATGCCAAACACTCTCTACATTAATTTGAACATGCCTATAAAAAAATGGAAAATAGAAAGCTCGAGTGTTAAATAATGGAATGGCAAAATGAGGGTAAACTTGATGTATCATAGCATCAGTTGGGACTTGGGTCTGCCAAGGACAAGATTTAAGAAAAATAATGAAGGTATTTAGTTATTGTGTAAACTTGTGCTAGCTGTGTGTAGATTTAGGGCTTACTTGCGAGTTGAGAGGACTGAAGCTTTGGTTGAACTACCACTTTGAGGAAGTTATTAAAACAAGTATTGAAATCCACTTTTTTAGCTGAATGGCAATCAGATTTGGGCTTTCTAAGTAATTCACAAAGCATAGTTTATATAGGCTATTTGTGCGAGGCCTACCTCACAAAGTTACAAGCCGCTGCATGAAGAGTTCACATCTGCACCCTACAGAGCGCATCCCAAAAAGGCCCCACATGCACATTTTAGTATGCATTGGGAATATCTCCATGCTTATCATTGGGAGATGTTCCAAATTCACGGTTGGAATGTACTGTGGGGCATGCTCTGTGAGGTGCATATGTGAATTTCTGCATGAAAACCCTTCCAAAGAGTATTTGATCTCCTTAGGATAATCTTGGCGTCCCGTACAATTGCTAAAAAAATTTCTCTAAGCCTAAAACGTGGTCTGTCTCTCCTAATTTGGGAAAAGGCTTGGCTGTTTAGGGGCTTGTTGCACGTGACAGTATTATTCCATTTAGTTCTTTATTTGCCTTTTTAATTTCCATCTTAATGTGTCATATTATCATGCACATGAAGCTTCAAACAACCCAAGCTGTATGAGCTACACAACAGGACTAAACCCTTCCCTAACCAGTTGTTTTTTTTGTTTGTTTGTTTCTTTCTTTTAAACATTCAGTTTTTTTTTTTCTCTAATTTCCTTGTATTTGTACTTTTAGGGTAATAGTATTTTTTTTTCTTTCAAACATCCAATTTTCTCCCTATGGCTATGTTTGGTTTGAAGAAAAATGTAAGGAAAGGAAGGGAAAGACAAAGAAACCTATACAAAATTTGTACAGGTTTTCCTATCTTTCCTTTCACTACTTTTTGATTCAAACCAAACACAGCCTAATTTCTTTATATTGTACTCTTTTGGATAATCAAATGTGATACTGAAAAACGAATTAACTAATTAACTGGTATCATAAAAATGGTAACTAATCAAATGGTGAGAAATCTGATTAATCAAATCTCTTAATTTTGGCGAATTAATCTTTGAATAATTTATCAAAAAATTGCGAATCAGATTGAAGGTTGAGATACTAACAAGAAAAATAAAGGACATATCACATGCCAAATTTCTCTTAACTTGCGCCGGATCACACGCATAAAATGTGTAGTGTAATATGTACTTAGTAGAGGGAGTACTACGCACCACAGATTGGGTAGACCTTTGAAAACTCGCCTAAGATTTGCTGTTCAACAATTTTTTAAGGAAGCTTAAAGAAAAAAAAAAGAAACTCGAGGAAGGAGAAACCGGGATTTTGAATATAACTAAACGAGCTCCATGGTTGATGAGATATATAAAATAGTGATACAAATTACAAACTACGTGCTTTGTAGATTTAATTAAGGCTGTGTTTGGTTTGAAAAAAAAAGGTAAAAAAAAGAGACAACATTTTCTTTTAAACTAAATACAGCCTAAGGGAGAACAAATATACTTAATTCCGCCGAGCTCTTTCTATTTGTTTTATCAAAAAAAAAGAGAGTAGCAGAGAGAGTTATGGATATGCTTCAAAATCATATAATCTGATCGATACTCTTTGTTTTTAATTTTCTTTTTAGGCTGTGTTTAGTTTGAAGGAAAATGTAGGAAAAACCTTTACAAATCTTGTATTCAATTTCAAATTACGAAAACTAACACCTCCAAGAGACTGATTTTGAAAGAAGCTTCTAAAATTTTACAAGTTTTCATTTAAGTAGAGTGCATCTTTTTTTTCTTTACTAGCGGGGCCCATATGGTGCATAGGAAAAACAGAAAGTTGATTAATTTTATTAATTGATAATTTGAAAGATGTCTTTATTTATTTATTTATTTGTAGAGGTCAAAGCGCCAAGAAGGCTTAAAATTAAAATTGTTGCTCCATGGAGTAACTGAGTTACACAAGTGGGTGGGGGATCATCCCCCAATCCCATAATGCCCTAAACATGAGTGCAAACATGATTCAATTCTCGGTCTCCACTAAAACCAGCACGAGACCTTACAAACCAACTAGTTGATACTTTGGTAGGGGTGTTTCAAACTAAATTAACAAAAAATCTCTATTTATTGTTATTTGCATAACAGAAAAATAAAAAAAATATAAAGAAAAGCTTAAATATCTTAAAAACCTTGGTACAGATATTGATATAAATAAATTATTTTTCAAAAATTTATGAATAAACTTTTGTATTGATGTGAATAAATTTTCAAAAAAGTCTGAATATATGAACAATTAATTACTGAAAATATAAAAATTTTCAGTAAATTATAATTTTTTAAATTAATTTTCACTAAATTAAATTACCAAAAAACATGAAAATTATCTTATGAAAATCACCAAATTAGAATTTCCCAGTAAATACTAAAAAATCAATAATTAAGTTACCAATAACCATGGAAGTTATTAATAATTATCAATATTAAAATTCCCAGATAACTTTCCAATTTAATAATTATCAAAGACCATTGCAAATTACCAACAATTAATTATTAAAATTTTTAAATTTAATAAATTTTCAAAAATATTAAAATTTCCAAATGGTTATGAAAATTATAAATATAGTTAAAATTCTGCAATAATTATAGTTTAATATTTAATAATTACAAAATATCCATATAAATGAAAATATCAATTAATAATTTTTCATTACCAATAAATTTTCTATTCTTGTTACTAACGTGATATGTGAGACTTTACTCTCTTAAAATTGTAAGCAGAATGGGAATGGATAATGTAATATTTCCAAAGTTCATTCCCATAATCTGTTTGGTTCAGACAAGAATGGGAATGGGAATGGAAATTAAAATCAACAGGAATAGGATTTCATTCCCAAGGGAGGGGCAAGGAATGACCATTATTCCAAAAAGAATGGGAATAGAATTCTGATTCCACCCAACCAAACAATTGGAATCGGAATAACACATTCCAATTCCGATTCCAGACCCCTATTCTTGCGAACCAAACAGGGCCTCACTTTATCCACATCATGAAAATATACAAATTGTGGTGATGTTCACCAATGTATAGGCTGTCAATTGACTCTGAAAGTCTGATCTCCAACTCTACTTTGAACTTGATTATATTGGGTTTAGATGTTAGGACTTCTGATTATATAATAGATCGAATGTGGATTTAACCTCATTCGCTCTGATTAAAATCCAAATATATATAATTGACAAAATTTTATATTTTATGTTTATATATTTGCATATATAAATTAAAAATAATTAAGTTTTTTAAGACCTTTTAATTTTTTAAACATTTTAAACACAATAAGATGATGGCAAATTAAATCTAAATCTAATCTAAAACTGACATAATAAATGAATGCAAATATAGATCTATAGATCCTATCCAAATACGATACATTCACAGCATTACATTGGATTCTCAATTAAGCATGTCAATATATGACATACTTCCACTGGTGTCTCCTTAATTATATTACTTAATGGGGCAATACACCATCCACCAAGATTCTCATGGCTTGTTCCATCTTTGCAGACAATACTTCTTCGGATATGACTATAAAACTTGTTTACCTGGGCAAACTTATTCTAAACTCATTATTTTTGTCATGATGCCTAATGACGTAAGGCGTATTCTTCAATGTGAATTCTCATTGCTGTAAGTGTCAAAAATCAAAGCCATCTAATCATCTAATTTGGAAAAAAATTTGTGTTATTTAAAATCGGATCAGACTGAACGGTTAGACCAGAAAAACCAGAAACAGGTCAACTGATTGGTTCTATTTCACCCCAAAACCACTTTTTGACAAAAAACTGTTGATTTAGTCATCGAACTGTTGACTCGGGTGATCAAATCATCCACCCAAACAGTAATTTTTGACTGTTTTTTTTTTTACTTTTTTATTTTTTCTCAGAACAGGCCATCCATTCAGACTGGATGATCGAACCGTTCGACCCAGGAACTGGTCCCCATAATGGTTTCCTGTTCAATCCGGTTTTAAAAACCTTGGTTATGTATCTTCTTGTTTTTAAAACTGAAACAAAAAATATATTATTAAATTTTTTATTTAAAAAAAAAACATGTTTTATACAAAATAAGGGTTTGCTCATTGGTCTTGTCTTGGTATGGGGCTTGCACCAAGGGCAGGCCTTTCTCTTTACACACTAAAGCATATAAAGGTAGAGTTCACTTTTGCCAGGTAGAGCAGGACTAAAACATAAAATCATGGGGTTGGATATACTGCATTAACCCCATCAAGAAGTCACTTCAACCAGCAATAAGACTGTGTTAAGGGCATGTTAGTTTGTTCTAAGTCTAACATTTGAAAGTGCAATAATTACATTAAGAAGTGTATTGATATTGATAAATTTTTCTTTCTTCTGAACTTTACATGCAAAGAATGTTATTTTGAATTTTGAAAATATCAAATATTCATTTTGACCCCATATATAAGAATTTTTGTTTGTCTTTTCGGAGTTATCATTAAAGAATAAACAACCATTTTTTTCTAAAAGTTAAAAAATTCTTCTTAAAAAATAAAAATTAAAGAGAAACGAACAGACCCTTATTCAAGATGAGGCCATGGCAACAAATCAAAGGTTTCGATTTAGTTGTTTCAACGCATGGCTAATGTGAGTTGACAAAGGCAAACATAGACTGAGGTACCACCATCCGTAGCATAGCTAAAGTAGTACCATAGGTGCAGGCAGGATGGAAGCTAAGAATGCAATCTGATGCCCTTGGTCACACTACTGATCTAATAAAGTGATTCAATCATTTAATCTTGAACTTTTCATTCTAGCCTATCCATGTTTGACTAAACAGTGGACTATGCAGAGAAATAAATTGTTACGCCCCTATTTGGAAGATGAATGGACTATGCGGAGAAATAAATTGTTACGCCCCTATTTGGAAGATGAGAGCAAGGACCATGGATGATACACCCATCTAAATGCGGGGAATCAAATCTTCTTGTTTACAATTCAACCTCTTGTACTCCAAATTTTGTCCTAAAAATATGAATTATTATTTTTAATTAAAACTATATTGTTTTCGTTTCTGATAACCAAATATAGTTCATGAACATGTCTTTGTGTTTTTTAAATTTTGGCTTACATAAAAATAAAGGTAAAATATAAAAACTTCCCCTAAAATTTCTGGCAATCATAATTTAATCTTCCCTGAGATTTCACTTTAACAAAAACCTCCCCTCTAGTATAACAAAAACCAGTACTTACCTCCCTTTCACCTGGTAATGGAGACTTCAAAATTATAAAATTACCCTTACAACTTTTTAGGACATCTTTCAATACAATTCAGAATGCCATATTTACCCTTCTAGACTTCATTAGACCTAACACTTTTATAGATGAAAATCACTTATTCTTTTTAATCTTACTTGGAGTTTTTTTTAATTAAAATTAAAAACTTCTTTTGGAAGCATTTTAATACATTTTCAAAGGTAAAATAGGCACGTTAGGAAAAAAAAAAAAAAAAAAAAAAGAGCAACGGAGATGTACCTCAATTCAGTTGCTCCTGTTTTTTGACAGATGTGTAAAGAGATAAAAGGAAATGTTGGAATTAGGCTGAAGATCAAGGACAAGCAATTGGTGGTAAAAGGTCTCTAACCTCCATCTATTGTCTTTGTCAGAAAAGCCAATAATACATTACTGTCAAATACTCTCTAATTGCTCTTGAAATTTCCACTGTCAAAACGTCTCCAATACATGTCCAATTTATGAGGCATTCCGCCTTGTTTGTTGGCTTCAATCTTAATCATTGCATTAACCATATCAGTGTTATCCAACTTCAACTTCAAGTAGAAAGTAGTAGAAATGCCAGTACATCATCTTTATCTTTAGTCTTGGAGTTCAAAAGAGCAGTGCTAACATATTGGGTTTTCAGAAATTCTATGACAAGACAATGACTCAAGCCATTTCCTTTTGAGCATTGAAGAATGTAAACTTAAAATATGGTCTTAGCAGACTACTCCTTCGCTAGAAGGATCTTGTTTTTGGGCTTCTGTTATGATTCAACATGTCACTGCTCCTATGCATGGGCTACCTAAAACCTGGGCCAAAAGATGTTGACCAGGAATTCATCATTCATGTTCCTCTAGAAAACACTTTCAAGATTATCTGACCTTTCCATGTCAACAGAAGAGTATTGCCATGTAGATTAATTCTGAATCAGATAGAAGCTATGTCTGTTAGATGTACTAACAATATTCAAAAATTAAAAACCAGATTACCAAGTCTTCGAATAATATTTGTACTACCTGTTTCCATGACTATGATTCCTATAAAAAAATTACCCATTATTTACTCTTACAAGCAATTGTTGCAGGTTCTCAATGAAAATTCCGAACCACAACACTCCAAACATTTTAATTGCAGCAAGAGCTCATCTATATGTGAGGAACATCAGAGTAAAGTGCTTCAAGTAATATCGAGCACCTCCAAATATTTCAAGGAAAACCAGAGTGAAGTTCTTATGATCTTGTCACTATTCAAGGAAAGATCTGAGTATACATATTGAAGCACGCCCAAAACTTTCAGCAAATGTTGTATAACAAATCCCATGCATTGGCAACACTTACAAGAGTTCTCCAACAATCAGTCAAACAACTCAAGTCTAAAAATTTGTAATTCCCCAAAACTTCAAAGACCCAAGTTCACCTTTAAAACAACAGAGAAATGAAAAAGACAACATTTGCATACTACCACTGGAGAGATGTGCAGGAGATACCTTGGTCACTTTTCAGGTTCTTTTTTGAATGCTCCAATAGGAACAATATGTGCTGCTTCATGATTACTACCACTTAAAACATCCATCCCTGGTGCCTTAATTTTCAAGCAGGCATGGCATGCATTCAGTGCACATAATTAGTAAATCAGTCGACAGTTTCTAAATTGTAAAACGGAGATCTTACTTCTAAAAATAGCTGTCTTCATTTTACCCTTGGTCCACCAAGGGACCTAATTACTTGGTTAGAAAATCAATCTTAGCAGACACAAATCCTAGAAGATCCAACATTGAGAATGTAAAGGGCTTGGATTTTGCACCGGTTAGACTCTAGGCCCATCAAAGGCCATAGAATCAGGTGGTTGTGTCCAGCCAGACTCCATATTGACAGTTTTATTCACAGTAACACACTAACACTAGAATCCTCACATACCTGGTTATTTGAAGCTTGCCCATGTACCCTCTGTGGCCTGGCATTGAGATCAATCATTTTAGTATCCTTCTTCCCATGGTTATCATTGTTAGCATCTAGAACTTGAACTGTTGAGACCCTGTGGTTTTGCTGACTCTCTCTTGCTGTCAGCTTAGGTAGTGAATTTTGCTCCCTCCTAGTCTCACCCGGATCTGTGTTTTGCAAGGCCAGGTCCTCTAAATTGCCAGGCTTATCACCTGGAAACTACATCACGGACCAAAATGGCATAAATTTCCTTTTTTTATATTACAGATACAAGAATTTGACCTAGTGGCCTCCAGTAAAGTCACAAACCTCAACTCTCTGCCTCAAAAGGAGATATCTTCCATGAGTTCTTTTACCTCCAACATGTACAATCATGTCACATTGCAAACAAAGGGAACTTCCATCTATCTCACAGTAAAAGAATGCTACATCCAGTTTCCAGAAAAAGTTGTAAGTTCCTTTACATAAGAAAGCATCTTGTAGCCAAAAAGATTAAAAAAACAAAATAAAATAAAATAATAAGCTGCATACCAGGTGCATTTTCACATATGTCACAGCGAGGAACATCACTGGGGTTAGCAAGCCCAACCCGTACATGCCGGCTAGCAAGCTTGTTGCACATGTGAACCTGTCACTCAATTGAACAGAAACGTTACATACTGTTGCTATAAAAATTGGGCCAGATTACAGTGAAAATCAATGTGACCCACAGCACCTGGGACAAGAGTCCATGAAAGAACAAACATTTTTGTATGGACATTTTAAACACAACTTTATTCCTTACAGACTGTCCTAACAATTATAACGTGATGCCACTTGTGACAAATTAGTTTTCAATATTACAGTAAAGTTAGCAAAATTGCATAAATCATTTAAGAAGCAACTTATTGATTTTCTGTGAAGCCTTGGCTGGAAGTATTCCTATCTGGGACCAATCATATTAGGGCCCTTTCTTCTCAATAAGAGAGATTCATGTTTGTTGGAATTTCAGTTCATAAAGAAAATGATTTAAGAAATGATATATAGTGCCTTTTCACACTACCCTATTACAACTACTACTTGCAGTAAAAACTTCGGTATTGCCAACCAAGGAAATCATCAGGTACTCTTAGCAGAGAACATCTCAAGGCTCAGATTAGAAAAATTGGATCTGGCAAAACGAGTTAGGTCCATGTGAGGCAAAGCTAATGTAGAATGGTTTGCCCAATAAAAAGTTGGCTCCAGTGTAAACCTTATTATCACCCTCATCACTTCTCGAGAAATTGGTTTATTTGGCATCCCTTTGTGACCCCCCCCCCTCTTTTATAATGTTGGGCTTAGTATGTTTAATTAAGATGCCATCTCCTCCTATACTTAAAAGGTAAGATGTAGAAAAATATGCATACCTTAAACCTCATTAACACCTCTTAAGAATGAAAATCAAGCATTTGATTTTTTATTTGAAAAAGAAAAAAAAAAGTGCGAATAGTTTCTAGTCTAATATTTGAATTGAGCATGAAAAACAAGTGTAGTGGCTTGACACACTTGAGGTTCAGTTTGGTAAGAGTGCAAATGCAAATATGTACAGTGCAAAACCTTGTATACAGTATTTCTAGACCTTGTATTTGCACTGTACATATTTGCATTTGTAATCTTCCCAAACTGAGCCTGTGAGCAAATGGGTAGGTTCTACCTGGATCGGATGGAACCAATCTCGAACCCGACTTGAACCGACCCTGCCCAATCTGTTACAGGGTAGGGTCTTGTTCCAAATTCTTGGAACCGACCCCCAGTCAGGTCAGCTCCGGAGTCTAGGGGTTTGCCCTATCCGAACCGATCTGATGAACCGGCCTTGGAGCCGAACTTGTCTTGAAATAAACCCCAAAATATTTTTAAGGATGTGAAGATTTGAACCCAACGCTCATGGTTACAAAAAGCCATAATCTCAGTTGACCATTGAGTTACTTAAGTGATTTGATCATTTGTTTTCATTTTAATATTTGAATATATATAACAAATAATGTAAAAGGTAATATTTATAAAATTTAAATTATAATGCCAAATTTTGAATCATATATCATATATTATAATAATCTACATATTAAATTACTCAATTTAACCAAAAAAGATAATATATGTTTTAAGCTATATATTATCATTATTGAAAATCAAGTTTTTAAAGGACATGCTTCATTTTTTTTTTGGAGGGTAAAGAAACAACAGGTTCCACTGGTAGACTCTGGAACCGACCCAAGAACCACCAAGGCCATAACCGACCTTCACAGCTCACAGGGCAGGTTCGGGTTCCAAAAGCCTGGAACCAACCTCTACAGGATAGGTTCCAGGTTCTTCCATGGAACCAAACTGAACCGATCCATTCTCACCCCTAAGCCTCCAGCTTTATTGGTGCTACTAGAGTCCTATTCTCTTAAGTTCTGGAATTGCTCAAATGCAAAGAATGCCACTCTACAAGAGTAAGTGCTCAATTTCCTTAGATGCATTTTTCATCATTATGCAGTGTCATCACCCTGACTGGATTTGATGCCACAGTATGGCGGCAGCTCTTGGGTTTCATGTCAAAACATTTCTTTTTTTGGTAATCTCATGCCAAATTTTTTCAAAAGCTCATTTGGGGCATCACATAGAAATTATGCCATCTTGCTCTCCAGCACTAGAGAAGCCAACCCTTTGACTCTCGATTTTAACATCATTAGAGCCTAAAATACTTCCAATTTCCAGTCGGATGAATTAGATAGAGTACCGCTATATGGGCAAATTGACTAGTATTGAATCAACTCAAACACCTCTGAACACCAATCTTAAACATAAACAGATAAGAATATTGCATGTTTATCAAACTCTACTACATAAAAACATAAACCGAAATAAAGTAACCCAAATAAGCATTCCAAAAGGATTTGCCCCAATTCTTTCCAAAGGAAGAAGCGGCGATTAACAAATCACAGTAAAGTAACCCAAATAAACATTCCCATCTAAATAAATCATATACCAATTTACCATCATTAGGACCAGAGTATTAAAACAATAGAAGAATCATCCAACCAATTAACAGAGAAATGAAAAAAAAAAAAAGCAGAAAAAGTAATGGAATAGAAACCCGAGAGAAATATACCTTTTCGTCACAGGAGCGGCAGAGAGCGGCCTCATCAGCTGCACAGAAAAGGATAGCGGCAGCGCTCTCACAGACGTCGCAGAGTGTTCGCATAATTCCCTACTTCTCTCATTTCTCCTTTCTCCAGTTCGACATCATCTCACCGAAAACAAGCAACAAAGAGAAACAAATGCAAAACAAACGAACCAAAGAATCAATCAAGGAAACAAAAAGCTTCACAGAACTGACAGAGGAAAGAGCGAAATAAGAAAAGAAGAAGAGAAGTCGAAGCCAGACTTTATTTTTTTATGAAGAAACGAGCCATTGACGTTTGCCTTTTTTTATTTAATTATTTAATTAATATTTTCTATTTTAATCAAGGTTTTGATGGTGCTGGACCTGCTGGCTGGCCTTCTAGGTAGACGTTGGAATCCTTTTTATGGGTGCTATGTTAAGCACACAAATCTGTTTTATCGTATATCGTACAGACGCCACCACTGAACCACACATTTGGAACATGATTAATTCAGTGCGTCGCTACAGCAAGCAAAGGTGGTCCCCGCCCAAAAATATTCTAAAACTGTGGTGGATAGGCATGAACATGCTGGGCTGGAGGAGAGAGGAGACATGGGGTTTGATCTTGAATCTTGATGGACAACTCGAAAGACGAAAACTGTGGTGGTGACTGGTGAGGTTGTTGGGGGATTCCAGAAGGCGGGTTTAATAAGTGATGATTATACGATAACGCTCCCGTCGAGGTTATCCGTGGGAACCCCACGTACCGCTCGCTGATTGGCTCAAAAGTTGAGAATTCAAACAACCTGAAATCTCGAAGATTTTGAGTCAATGAAGGAAGAACAATGTAAGATAATCTCGTGAAGACGTCCGTATCTAATCACCACGTGGCTGTAATGATGGGAGAGAGAGAGAGCACACACTACACACTACAAGAAACAGCGAAACCCTTTCCCTCCTTCCTTTTCTTCGCACACTTGTTAATTCTTATCAGCCACAAGCTTCAAAATGTGGTGGGGAATGAAAGCGGCACTCCATCTAACCTCACCCACTAATTTCATATCTGCCCTACACACCAATTGCTTCGCTCATTATTCGATCTTTCTCCAACCATCGGCCATCGTCGGGCATCTATCTGCCTCTCTCTCTCTCTCTCTTTCTCTTTCTGAACCGACAAAACAACAACGTAGAATTTATGGCCGGACCTCCAACACTCAACAAAAGATCCATTGGATCGTAATCTTTTAATCCAATCAAATGGACGAATCCTCCTCTGACCTATCTCCTAGGGAATCCGGAATCGGTCTTTTTCTTTTTTATTTGGATAAATTACAAAGAACCCCCCCTTATTATGGGTCAGTGACAAAGACCCCTACATTTAACATTTTTGGCGATAAAGACCCCTGTATTTTGACTGTTAGATAAAGACCCTGTAGCCGTTAAATCAGGTAACGGAATGCATTAAATCACCAGAATACCCATTTAAGGTTTCTTTATTTTCTTTTTATTGCCCCTTTCTCTTAAACCTAATCTAACCTACATTCATGCGTTAAATTACCAAAACAGCCACAACGACTATTGATTTCTAGCAGAAAGGAAATTGATTTCTTTTCTCCCACAGGCCACAGCCCCTCGCTTCTTTTGCTGGAAAATGTTTTCTCAACGGAAGTTTCCTGAGACGATTCAGTTGGATGACTGAACAGTGGCTCATATGATGAGACTGGACTCCAACAGTCTTTTGAATCACAGCTTTCAAAGTCTTCAATCCCATCCGACATGGTCTTTGGTTTCCTTCGATGCAGAGCTTCTTCAACTCCAAAAATATAATTTCGTTTTCTCGTTTTGTACATCAACAAGCGAACCAGACGCAGAACTTCTTCAACTCCAAAATGCAATTTCGTTTTCTCTTTTATTTCCTGAAAATTCACCATAGAAAAATAAGAGCTGGTTTGGATTGCGATCAATTCAAGCTCAGACTTCAAAGTGGGAGAGACCCACTAATACAGATCCCTGACTAATTTAGTAGTAGACATGCTTTTTTTGGGTATGACTGGTAGAAACTGAGAATTGGTTAAGTTGTAGCTGTTAACTACAAGAAAGCTCAAATGAAATCAGTTTGAGATTAAGAGAGGCATTTGTGATTTTCATTGAACTGGAGATTAGGAGTGTTGGTCATATGGATGGTGAGCCACCGAAACCCTTTATCTATCCTCTCTTTCTATTTTGAGTCCTTGGCAGCCACCGAAACCCATAAAAGCATCGGGTTGCTCGTACATGGCTGGGACATTCGAGCATCCACCGTGCAGGAGGATGATCTAGGTTTCAGGCAGCGAGTTAGGGGAATTAGCAAGACAGGATCAAAGAATTCGGCGAGGTCGCTCCGATGCTTAAGTCAGTAAACTTACGCAAGTTGAAAAGCTTTGAGAGTTTAGAGAACTAGAGATTTAGAGAATAGAAAAATCACGCGTACCTTGTGCCATTGGGGTTGGTGTCTTTATATAGTTGAGCTCTCGCAGGTTTTGCGAATCGGTTCTGGGATCTTCGTACTGATGGGATCTGTTTCCGCTTTAATTGGGGAGTAACATTATCAACTAATAAAAATTATCAATTCCGCCCAATCTGGGTGGGGAGAAGATAAGCTTGCCGTTACGCGGCATGATCCTGTGAGGTTCGGAGTTTGTTGGAGAAACTTCCGGGATCGTTACGTGATAGCCTAGGTCAGTAGTCCCGAGCTGATACTTCAGTCTTTTTAGTTCCGAACTGGATTGAGTGTCGGGGTGCCTCAATGCCGGGGTGACTATGCGCCGCAATGACCTTGCAACGAGGTGACCCTGGTGCTGAGATGGCCCTTGTGCCGAGATGATTGAATACTCGAACTCAATTGTTGTGAACTAATCTGGCTAGGCTGAACTGTCATCTCTTAGTCAGTTCTTATCCACGTATCCCCTTTTTGCTAGGTCGGGCCAAATCATCCTTTATCACACCGAAACCCCATAAACCCCATCCCTTTTCAGACTGAAATTGTTCTCTTTTCTTCCTTTTAATTTTCTTAATAGAAGAAACCTGTGTGATGCGCGAACTGGTGTTAATATTCATGGCCGCAATACATTGAAGACCTTCTTGATTTAATTTCCTTACGATTTGATACAGACAGCGGAATCATAATAATTGGCATTTAGTAAAGCAACCCTCCTTCATTGTTGATTGCGTAGAATTACAAAATGCAGTTGCAGTGTGCAATCCCTCTGTCTCTGTAAAAGAAAAGAGAGTGGAGAGTGCGAGTATGGGTTGAGCACAGTGACCAAAGTAGCAAGGATGAGCACTTTCATCTTCATCTTGTATTCCTACATTCTCGCCGCCCTTCTACCTTTTCTCTTCATCTGCCCGCATCTGCAGGTCCATTTTCTCTATTGAGATGCTATTGTTACATGCTTCTGGTTTAAATGTAGAGGTCCTTGAGACCACCAACAATCACAAACTTACATAATCTCCTTGTAGTAGCAGAGCAACACATGCCCCACTCACCTTCTCCATCCTCTATAAACTTTTCCTCATTTCCGTTTTGTGTACAGAGAAAATTAGATTGAACATAGATATATTCCTTTGCTTCTGAAGCTTGAACACATCTGAGAGAAGAAAAAGGAGTTTGCTCGGTGAAGGGTAAAATGGTTCGAAAAATTGTCAAAAGGGCAGTTTGGGTCTTTAAAAATATTATAACACCGAAATGCTAATTTTTTCCATGATAACCGACAGAACACTAATAGGGTCTAGGGCTGTTCATAAGAAGGCCCAACTCGACCAAATCGACCAACCCGAACCGATCCAACTCGAGTCGGTCGGGTTTTCATCAGCACCGGTCGGTTTTGGGTCGAGCAAAATCATAAAATGATATATCGGGTCGATTTCGGTTTTCTTATGTGAAAACCGAAACCGACCCGAACCAATTAGTTTTCTAGTTCGGTAGTTCCTAGTTTCTTATTTAACTAGTCTTCTACTAGAACTAGAACAGCCCTATCTTCTAGTTCCTACTTAACTAAATTGTATCTATCCTAATTTTTATAGTCTTTTACACCAAATAGGCAACCCATTAGGCAATTACAATTAGAATTAGGTGTCCTTCTAGTTCTAGGCTTCTCTATCATTTTTGTATAGAAGCAAAACCGAAATCGACCCAACCCGATTCAAACCGACCAGGTCGGTTTTGCTTATCAGTGGGTCGGTTTCGATTTCCACCTCATGTAACCCGACCAGGTTGGGTTGGTTGGGAAAACCCCTGTAAACCGATCCAACCCAACCCGTGAACAGCCCTAATAGGGTCTTTGTCTAACGGTCAAAGTTCAGGGGGTCTTTGTAGCAAAAAAAAGTATAGGAGGTCTGTATAATTTATCCTTTTTATTTTTTGGGAGGGATTTTCACAGGTTGTAAGCTAGTTAGGGGTGCGAAAAAAAACCAAAAAAATGAACCAACCGAAAAAACCGACCAAAACCGAATCAATCGAAAAAACCGACCGAAACTGAACCGAAAAATTGGTTAATTGAACTGATCGGTTCGGTGTTTTTAAAAAACCGAAGGTACCGGTTCAATTTCAGTTAACCAATATAGAAAACCGCCAGTTAACCGAACCAACCGGTATACATATATTCCTATATATTTTATATATATTTATATTTTTTATTATATATTTATAATATATATTATAAAAATTAAAAAACCAAAAAACCGATGAACCAAACCGGTCAACCGACTAATCGACTAGTTTCGATTCGGTTTTTATTACCGGTTTTCTAAAAACCAATAGTACCGGTTCGGTCTAAGAAAAAGCCCCACGGTGCAAACTGTGAGCACCCCTAAAGCCAAGGTTTCAAAAACGAATCCAGAACCAGAACTGTTCTATCCACTGGTAGAAGTGTCAATTGGACCGGATTTGGTCCAATATGATCCAATCTAATGTGAGTCCACTACAAATGGACCTGGTCCAATCCAGTCCAATGAATATTTTTGGTCCAGTCCAATTCAATGTCAGGATTGTCTAATATGTTCAAATTCATTTTAATTTTGGTTGGTTTCAACTCAAACCTTGTCCAATTGGATTAGTTCCAATTCAATCCAATATAAATTCATTATAGATGGACCAAGTTCATTCCAATCCAATAAGTATTTTTGACCATTAAGTCTGACTTGGTCCAATTTAGTATATCTTATTGGTTTGTTTAATCCATCCAAATTGATTTTGATTTAGATGGAGTCCAACCCAAAACCGGTCCATTGACACCCCTACATCATTTTTTGGTATTTAGCACAAAATGTTAACAACTCATAGAGGTAAATGGTAATAACAGAATTAGAATCACATATTTGATGGGACAAAGGATTAAAATATTGATACGATATGCCTGATACAGGGCATATCGACCAGCGTCTCACAATAAAAAAATGGGAGGAGCATGACTCAAACCCTAGTTGGTGAATGCCCATGGCTTAGGCGCACATGTACATTAACCACAAAGCTATTCTCAGCACTCTATTTAACCGCAAAACCGGATCTATTAGCTTTGATAATCTGAATTTATATATCAAATTAGATTCATTTCTATTGTAGTGACTACTCGGTGGTCATATAATCACTTTGTGTGTCCGTCAAGTATATGTTTCTCAACCGCTTTTGCAGGCTGTCGTTGCTGAAAAACTCAGCCAGGGATTCCATCCAACCAGGTTGCCAGCCACCATCCAATAGTACCTGTCCCGAATATCCCAACGATAACCCGACTTGAGAACCCATCTTGGGTCTCCTTCTTGGCCCGATCTATGTTCAGTTGTTCGCTCGACAGAGCAGCGACAGTAACGTAGCAGGGCCTCTCAGGTGGCTCAGGTGGGTTGGTTTTCTCCCCAAAATCAATATTTTTCCAATTCTGTCGTTAGATAAGTATTAAAAATAATAATATTTGAATTAATCTGGTTCACTGATCACAACCGATGAGACGCGTTGAGAAGTGGGTAGCATTTCATCTGTCCAAAAGCTTGAAAAAGGGTAGTCTATTGGCCCTGTTTTTCGAGATCGACTTTTATCAGCACAAATGTGTGCCCATACGGTTATAACAGTTCTTTCAACCTTTATTGGGAATATCTCCCCATAAAATAAAGCACACAAGTACGGAGATATATGGAATGGACTTGGCACTGATCCAACACTTGTTTTCCTAATTTGTGGATTGAAAATGATGAAATATCAATATGAGAGAGGGTATTGAGGGAGATTCACACTAGCCCCTATAAATTGAGAACATCTCCCCTTATATAATACTATACAGAGGTTGAGATATATTTTCTATGTGATTACAATAAATATAAACATAATTTGTACGAATAAATACATCTCACCGTACTTTGAAAACATCTCCCATAAATAATAATATATAAAATACAGGAGATATATACATATTAGATGTACTATGGATGTACCTATAAGTCAGTATAAGGCGTCCTGTGTGTGAGGAGCAAATCGGATTTCAGTACTAAGGTGGACCGTGGCTTTTGGAAAGAGCAAAGAGAATATTGCAGAGAGGGGTCGAGAGTTCTCCATGCTAAAGGGAAAAAGAAGGCCCCATCTTACTGGCCTCGATTAATTTAGTATATAGTAATGGTCTTTATGGTCGAGAGTATTATTCATTTGCATTACAAATAAATAAAATAAAGTAAAATATGAAACAAAAGAAAATCAAAATTTGTCGTTAACTCCTTTGTACTAATATTTGTACACTAATATCACTGTAAAAGTGCAAACAAATGAAACCCTAGTTGCGCGTGAACAGCAAATCTAAAAGAAAATAGTTTTAATATTAATACCAATCGACCATTGGTTTACACAAGGAATTTACGGGATGAGATAATACAAGTGCTTGTTTCCAACTTTCAAGTTTTGAGAGTTTGGACCAGATAGATTGATTCGATACTGAGTCATAATATTGGGTGATGGATGTTACATCAATATCTTATACATATATTATTTATTGGTTTAGACCATGGTTTTCAAAACCGATTTAGAGATTGAACTGGTCAGGGGTTTGGTTATCGGGTCAAACAATCTGATCATTTGAATCGAATGATTGGCCCGTTTTGACAAAAAATTTTAAAAAATAAAAAACGATCAAAACCATTCGAACGGTTTGAATGGTTAATCGCCCGAGTCAGCGGTTTGCTGACCAAAATCAATAGTTTTTGGAGAAAATCCAGTTTTGGAGAAAAATAGGAACCAGTCCGACCTGGTTTTGGGCCTAATACCACTTTGGTTTTTGAATTGCAAAACATGACAATTTAGCATCCAAATTTTCAAAACGTGCCAATTCAGTACTTACTGTTAATCAGCCATTAACTAATCATTAAATGGTATTTGAAAAGATACAAATACCCTTCGAGTGTCATCTAATTTTCTTTATTAACCATCCAAATTTGACAAAAAATGAACAGTCCCAAATTCTTGCCTCTTCTATTCAAGAAAGTTGGGGTCATGTCATGGGCATTGTGGTGACCTCATGTCTCCAACTTTCTTGAATAGACGTGGCAAGAATTTGGGACTGTTCATTTTTTGTCAAATTTGGATGGTTAATAAAGAAAATTAGATGACACTCGAAGGGTATTTGTGTCTTTTCAAATACCATTTAATGGTTGATTAACGATAGGTATTAAATTGACACATTTTGAAAATTCTAGTACTAAATTATCACAATTTAAAGTTTTGGGACCAAAATGATACTAGACCCAAAGTACAAGATTCTAATTGAGAATTTTCCCATAAATAAATTATGAATAAAGCATTAATTTATTGTGAATTTTTTTTTTTAATTTTTTCTGAAAATTTTGAATTTTGATTTTTTGTAAGCTCCAGGTCAAGCATCTTGACTCCAGGTCAAACCTTGTTCATTTGTGATTCGTTACATAACAAATGATTCACACAGCAGTGTGAATAAAGGTGCAATTTGAATTAACCTGAATTAGCATTTTACACTGTTTCGGGCTCAGACCTTTGGGTCGATCCGTTCAAAATTTAACAAAAATTCAACAAAGTCCGCCCAACTTGCACTACTGGGTGCAAAAAACAGATGGGGTTTCATTCCAAGAAAATTAGAAAACTGAAAACCCATTGATAGGCAGGTTTTATATTAGTGGGCCCTGCAGGCACCTCGTGACTAATAAAACCGCAAATTAAGACAAATGAAGCAAAACACATATAGCAGATTGGATTCTTCATCGGTAGAGTCGATGCTTGATTGCAACAAATTAAATTAAAGAAAGGTCTCATGCCTCTCAATCAGAAATTGAGGATTTGTGAGAGTGATTCCAGCCTTTGCTACACAGGATTTAATTATGAGAGTATAAAAGGACAAGATATTAAAACATCCTAAGCGGTAAATCCCATCTATTTACCTTGGAAACATTCTTGATGCATTGTACGAGCTGGAGATGGTCCACCCAAACCATGTCATCTTTCACGACGATGTTACTAAGAAACTTCCCGTCAAAACTAAACAATTTCTCTGAGTTCTGCTGCGACCTACGACCCACAAAATTTGTGCCACCGCCCAATTGAAGAAAATGGACGCATCGAGCTTAAAACCAGGGCAGTGTTTGGACTCAGTGCTGTTTTTGTAGTATATTTTTTGAGAAAACGATACAGCACAAAAGATGAACTTTTTTTAATGTTTGGAACCAGATAGACATTTTTCAACATCATACTAATGATAGAAAAGAAGGAAAACAGAGAAAAGGCGTTTTCTTAGACCATACCCTCCCCAAATTTCAAGAGGTGATCTGAAAAAACGTTTTTTGAAAAACTTCCAACCAAACGGTGAGCTTTTCTTCAGAAAACACGTACACATAGCACTGATGTAATAACCGTTTTTTTTCCAAACACCTACCAGATCATTCCGTGTCTTGTTCTACCTTCGCCCTGTGGACAGCACAAGGATGTCGAACGTAGAGAGCCAATCTTTGTCCATGTTCTCCGCAGTTGCAAGAATTTGTGCGACGGTGGTGGCAGCAGACGTAAAATGTCCATATATTGCCATATTCTGTTCGATCATTGGACTGAGTTCTTGACTGTAAAAAGTTTTCATTCTAGAACCTATCAAACCCTAGCTGAAAAGAGCCTATAATGTTCGATAATATATTTAATAGTTATTCTTCTCATTAAACAAAATACAAGCATGTCCAAGTTTCGTCTCAAACTTGATGAGAGACCAAAACAAAAGCCACACATTAGTTAACAGAAATATGCTATAGCTACTTAGCTACTCTAATAAACAACAGTTCACACAGCTTAAAACGAAAAGTTTATCATCTCCGTGCTCAAACTCTCCATCATCTTAGTCTCCATCACTCCGCAACCAATGACGGCAGCCATCTTGCAACTTATTTCCTTGGCCTTGCACACTCGGAGTGGGCAAGAAGAGAGAGGAACCACGGGGATGTTGTCGCAGTTGCAGATCTCAATCATGTATCCATCTGGGTCATGGAAGAACACCTGATCTACCTTGATCCCCCCTTCCTCAACCACTGCCGTCACATACTTCATTCCCATTTCTCGCAGTCTCATCTTAACGAGTCCGACGTCGGTGCACTGTTCGATAAAAAGTTCCAATTAGAAATTGCATTGATCAGCTGGAGAACCCATAGAGCTATATCTCACAAGCGACAAGGTTTTAACAATTCTTTACCTGGAATGAGATGTGGTTGTCCTTTGGGTTAATGGGTCGCGATACACTCGGGATATGTGCATCCACCGAATTATTCTCGAGCAGGTGTATCCCAACTCCGTAGTTGAACAACCTGAACACGATTCACGTAATTAATTCTCAATGAAATTTGAAGAAACTCGTTAATATACATGAAAATTGAATAAGAACTAACCAAGCTCCATGAAAATTGAAAGAAGAGGGCCGCTTTATGAGAATGAAGCCCAAGACATCTTCATAGAACCTAACCGAAGTGCTCACCGATCTGCACAATAGAGATACATGGTTGAGAGAAAGAAGGGGGAGTGATGTACAAAGGCCGATTTCATCTACTCCCATTTTGCCTACACAATGTATATCCTTCTTGTTCTGTTTTCTTTTACTTTTATAGATTTTGCTTGTAATCCTCCCCACACCCTCTTACCCTTTTATAGACTTCTCAAAATGTCTCAAATGTATTCAGTAATAATCAATACGGATAAGTACGTAAATGAGTGCTGTAAGCGGGATCGGAGGAACTTTCCTATAATCCTAGTCAATTCTTATTAAAATCTTGGGGTTTTTCCTGTTCAGTGGAATAAAGAATTGTTCTAGGACTGCACTGAAATTCAGAATTCTGAGGTGGAGTGTGGTCTACTTATCCCTTCAATTAATCTTTTACGGAAGAGTGAAGACAATAGCCCTCTTTCTAGGAACGCCAGCAAATTAGGGGCGTAAGTCGGACAACCTGGACGGGGGTTTAGCTCAACCCAATGATCCATGCCCAACTCAAAGAATTGGGCCTAAAGCCCAAGTCCGAATTATTTATCCCCAGCTCAGCCCATACTAAAAGTTGGTCAAATAGCTTACACTGAAAATTGATATATATGTGTATGTATATGCATATATGCATTATGCATGCAAATATGTGTCTGCATATGTGCATATACATGTATACAATTGTGCCGGATTCGAGTTGAGATAAGATCAAATTGGGCTTGAGCCACGTTTGGGTTTCCTAAAAGCTAGGCCTGAGCGCAGTCCAAAAAATTTAAATGCCCAAACTTTTGGGCTTAGGCCCAGCCCAAGGATCAGAAATTTAAACCTAACCCGTGTAAAATTATAAATTGAACCGGTCGGGCTCAGGTTGAGCCCACCCAAGTTGCACTCCTTCAGAAATCAGGCCCGAGCCCAGTCTGGAAATTTTAAATGCCCAAGCATCAACCTGAGTCCGAATTCTTGTGGTGTGGTTATACCACACTCCAAAATATCAGCTACATCACTATCTCGTGGTTCCAACCACACCACATGCTCCTCTCCCTATCCAGTACTTAGCATGTATATTAATTCATACAATATTTTTTTTTAATTATTTGTCTTATATCTAATTAAGAATATTTATCTTACCATTACAGTTGTTATTAATTAGTATTAAAAGTAGAAATTTTACTTTTTTATGTTTTTACTAATTTTAATAATTCTAATTAATTTTTTATTAATTATTTATCATGAATATTAGTTCTCTTATGTATGTGTTTTATATCTTTATATTACTTTTAATTTTTTTAGTCACAATTAATTTTTGAATTTAATTATCCATTAATTTCTTATTAATTTGTATTGGCTATGGTTAAATTGATCACATGTCAAATTAATTTTTATTTTTCTTAAAAAACAAAAAAAATTATTACTCTTGATTGACACCATATAGAATGCCTATATGAGTGCGGTGTAGTTCAGGCTACTTATTTTTATCACAGTATAGAACACCTATTTTGTTGTGGTGTGGTTGAGAATACACCACTCAATTTCTCATCCACACTACAAAACGCCCTCCAAATCAATCATGACATGCCCGTATCTCTAGCCCATCCAGTCCCGAAAGCCCCCCTTGAGGCAGTGTTGTTTGGTTACCTATCCCTACCTTTTCTTTCAAATCAAATACAGCCTAATTGTGCACCCATTTGATGGAGATAATCAGCTTTTTTAAACTCAAGTCTTAATTTGCTAATTTTCAAGTTCAGAGAGTCTTTGGCTCAGTTTGGAAGGAAAACAAATGCAAATATGTAGAGTGCAAAATCTTATGATTTGTATTATTTTGCTTGCATTTGTACTGTATATATTTGCATTTGTACTCCTTCCAAACTGAAGCTTGGCTTAGCAACAAGATGAATGGTGGAGTTGGTTCACGTAGCGTTAAGCCAAACGAATACTAAGCAAGAATCTCTCAATGAGATCACGTACACACAACATTCCTAAATAGGATTATTCAGTTGATAATCCCAAGAGATATGATTGAGGAATATTTGATGGTTAGGAAACTGCATGCACCAGCGGAATCCTTGTTGCATGAGGAAACTAAACTTAATTGGATTGGCTTAACACATATATAGAACCAAACCATGAAAGGGGTAGGCATTTTCTTTGAATTCAAATCTCTCTGGGAAGGTTCTTGGAAATATAATGTAAACAATTCGTCATCTGCTGCTTACCTATTAACAAAATCCATAAATAGTTAAATACAATACGCGGTCTATATATACTTGCAGCATAGATGGATGATAGCTACAGTTACAGTACAGAACTACAGATAGTTGACCATGGAGCTGTCCAGAAACTTATAATTTTAATTTCAATCTCACGGCCAACTTATTCAGATTATTCAGCCAGAGACCTTTGACCTGATGGGTATCTGATGTTGGGTCCTACAACTTGACATGCATATATTTGATATTCCCCATTTTCGTGGGCTCCATCGTCAGGAGTAACCATTGAATTGATACCACCCAGATGACTGTCTACCATGAAAAACTGAAAGTGAAAAGCAGCAGGGTGACCTTTGATCTTTAGCAGTTGCTGTATTACAGATAAGATCCCATTCCCCTACTTAAGGAATCTTCTGTGGATGTTCGGCCCTATGAGTCCAAAGCTGCACTTTATTTGCTTTAGTGAGCAGCTTCTTCTTCCTGGATTTATCTTTGGTTCAGCAGAGCCAGACAAATAGCGGCAGCTACCTTGAATTTCGGGAATGTCTCTAGCTACTCTCTGAGTCTCTGCCTCTCTCTATCATGTAAATTTACTTGAATATGCTGTGATGGTGGATGTTCCCGTTATTGCAACGAAGCTGCTGCTGTCTCTGTCTCTCTGCTAGCTATACCCAAGACGCGTAGATTAATAATTAATTATGTGGTGATAGGTGCATTAATATCTCTCTCTCTATATATATACGAGCACACTGCAAACGAAATCCAAAACTCAGAGAAGTTCCTTTTTAGAACTAAATCTGTTGAAGTTATTGTTTTGGTACAAAATAGAACCTTTGAAAGGGGACTTGAGCATGTATTAGGTAGGGTGTCCAGAGTCTGGCCAGACCACCGCACAACATATAGCTTATCTATATCTATCCGTAGTTTTCTGGTCGGTCATCTTGAAGATTTTGATATTCTGCACAAAATATCAGAGAATCTTGGAAGAGAAGACCACCCAACCAAATTGGATCTTTTCGAAGTGGATCGAACATATATCTCTCTTTGTGAAAGTGATGATTTTGCCCTCTTTAGCTGCTACATGTCAAGTAGAAGATTTAGACCCACCATTGGTGTCTCACATTAGATAAAACAAGGGGTGTCAATTGGACTGGATTTGGTCCAATCCGATCCGGTCCAATGTGAATCTATAACAAATGGACCTCCATGTTCAATCCAACCCAATGAATCTTTTGGATCATTTTGGATTGGTCTAATTTAATGTCTGAACCATTCAATCTGCTCAAATTTATTTTAATTTAAATTAATTCTAATCCAAACTTGGTTCATTGACATCTACATTCTCATCTTCTATCAATGGATCAGATATTAACTCAATCCAACCCAATCCAATCCAATAAATACTTTGGACCATTTAATCTGGACTGGTCCAATTCAATATGTCATGTTGGTCCGTCCAATCCTTCCAAATAGATTTTGGTTTGGAAGGGATCGGAGGGGGTCCAATCTAAAACCGGTCTATTGACACCCCTGTATAATACTTACATAAAAAAATCAGATAATGATAGTGTAAAATGAAAGAAAATAAATGATGATTTCCTGAATATTGTTATTTTAAGGTATTTGGCTGGATAAAAATGGTTGCGGAAGAGGAGCCATCTGGTTTTTCATGATTTTATGATTTTTCTTAATTAGTAACGGATTTATATTTCCAATTTAGTATATATTTTAACATACCTTTACCCATAAAATAGCTCGAACTATTGGTCCAGAATTCCTAATATAAAATTGACATATTGAAGGTATTGAACTTGAACAAAATCTAATTTCCATATTGAATTTACTGACAAAATATTGCTTGTAAGTATCATTATTCTTAAAATTGAGTCATATACCAAGTTTTATCAAATCATGCTTTTGGTGTAAGCCAAATTTGTAATCGTGATATATATATATATATATATTTGTCCAACCTTAGAAACACTATCTTGGACACTTTAACCTTAAACGTATCCGGACTAATTTGATCCTTTGCATTGCTTTTCAACTTCTAGAGTTCTAACAAAAAGCTATTTATCATCCCCATGAATATCTAAAACGAATTTATTACAAGGTGAGATATTACTCGTCATGTCTCACTCAGGCCTATATATGTTGTATATATTACGGCTTTTCTCATTTTCTGCTTCTCCGGGTGATATCTTCTGTTAGAAAGTTTTAATTTATTAATTTAAGAATTGCCTATAAATGGGTTTATTCTGCAAACATTATTAGGGCTTTTGGCCTGAAAATCTGTTCCTGGACTGTGGATTAGTGAGGGAAAACTTAAAAAGAATATTGGGTGGAGTGCCAGTTAGTTCAGCAGCATGTTCTTGGTCTTTCCACATGCATGCCTAGGATCAAATCCTGCCTTCACTACTCGAGGCTAACCTGGTCCAGTTTAGTCTGGCTTTGCCCAGTCCTGCCAGTTCAGTTCGGTTCTCACAGCTGGAGACAAAATCATACACACCGAGGTAAACTACCTATCACAAGTGAACACGTCAATGTTCAGTACATACCAGCGAATTAGTGTTCACTTGTGATGGACATAGCTCAGACCATGTGCTCAGATCATGTGTATGATTTTGTCTCTAATTAATCTGGACTCTTGACTTAATTCCCACCGTGTATTGGGAATATCTTCTGATGATGACATCATCATTTCTGGTACATTATCGAGAGAAATTCTCATGTTGTGGGGCGCAGATGTGTAAACTCCTTTCAGCTGTGCATTGAAAATATCTTTCATGTATAAAAATATACAAATAGGGAATGCATAACTGCAAAATGCTGTGAACAGTGTGAGAAGGGTTTTGTGTTGTGAGGACTGAATCGAACAACTGCTGCCCTGGCCCAGCCATAATTGCGCTAAGGTTGTTTAGTAAACGGATCTTAGAACTAAGACACAGGGCGGCACATGGCCTTATATGGTTGCAACTCGAACTAAGCCAACATAAGAACTTGCACAAAGCAACCTTGCATCAATTCCAGGATGGAATTTGCCCATTTAAAGACTATCTTGACCCATTAATTTTGTGTGGCATAAATAGTTTACATATTGTGGAGTGTTGGGCCTACAGAAACCGAATAAAATTTTGGCCAGGTCCAGCCCAGGCTGACAGTGGGACTAGGCTGTAGGCTGTATGTGCTCCAGGCCACACCGGGCGAGCCCGGCTCATGGGCGCCCCTAGCCAAGATGGATTCATCCTGCATCAAACCATAGACTATACCCACCAATGATCATAAAACAAATTCTTATTATCAACAACTATTGACGAAAACAATTCAATATTTAATTTATTCTTTACAATAGTCAAACACATACAATTAAACTTAAGAGCTGCAACCGAACATGAAAATTATCAAATTAAGACCAGACCACAAACACGACCCATAATTCACTATAATTGCAACAGGAATTGACAGTGCTCTTAACTCTTAAAACTGTTGACAACTTAAATCAGAACGAGAAGTTCATCATCTCCTTGCTCAAGCTCATCATCATAGCACGCTCCATCATTCCGCACCGAGCCACAGCGCTCTTCCAGGTGATGTCACCTGGATTATACTCAGCGTATGGGGAAGGAAGAGGAAAAGTAATGGAAGTTACCTCCTTGGTCTTACAAACTCGGAGTGGGCAAGCAGAGAGAGGAACCACAGGGATGTTCTCGCAGTTGCAGATCTCAATCATGTATCCATCTGGATCATGGAAGAACACCTGATCCACTTTGTTCCCTTCTTCCTCCACCAACGCGGTCACGTACTTCATTCCCATCTCTTGCAATTTCATTTTAACGATCCCGACGTCGGTGCACTGCTCAATTGAAAATTTGAAATCAATTAAATTTCAGGAAATCCCTGTATATGGCTGAAAACAATCCAGACATTAATGCTTACTTGGAAGGAGATGTGGTTATCTTTCGGATTGATGGGTCGTGATTGATTCGGGACATTTGCGTTCTCTGAGGTGTTCTCAAGCAGGTGTATTCCAACTCCATAATTGAACAACCTAGTCGATTAATTGATATTGCACAGAAATTTGAAATAGCTAATTAAGCTGATAGAATTCAGGCTCGCTAAGAAACAACACGCAGAAAATAAAGAAAGTGAAAATGATGATTGATGAAGAAGAAGAACTAACCAAGCTCCGTGGAAATTGAAAGATGAGGGACGTTTGATGGAAACGAAGCCCAAGACCTGCTCGTAAAACCTCACGGAATTGCTCACCGATCTGCACAGTAAAGAGACATGGTTCAGAGACAGGAGTGGCAGTGCTGATGAAGAGGTGTTCACTTCTTCTATCTCCATTTCGCCTTCACGATATATCCTCCTCTCTCTGTCTTTCACTCACTTTGTTTCCTTGCTGTGTAGCTTTTGCAGGTATCTGAACGGTTGCACCACGACCCTTTGGCCTCGGACCCTTTTATAAAGGAGGATTTGTTGAGTACCATTAATTGTCGTTCCAAACACGGAAATGAAACTGGGTGGAAATTTCCTACTCTTATTCTCTCTCGCATATCGGGAATTGGGAAGGATGGAATGCTGGACAAGCGCCCCCAGAAGCGCGTAAACTAGGAACGAACAGTAGAAGACAAAAGAATGAGATGAAACCATTCCCAAGTCCTGACTACAGCTAAAATGATCAGAATGTGGTCATTTGAATTCCATTCCAACAGATGTGTTTGCCTTCCCACTACTAACCTCAGATATCGGAAATGACCAGATGTAATTTGAAAACGAAACTGAAAGACTTCCATGTAATTGAAATTAATTGTTTCATGGGTAAATACTTCTTATATCTTGCCTTTTTTTTTCTCCTCCATGAATTTTGTGTTATACACATTGAATATGGGTCATATGGCTTTGTAAGCTTCATTGGCTAGGGAGTGTTTGGTCGCTTTGGCATTCTCTAATGTTGTTGCATTATGGAAGCGTGTGGGGTCTGATCAATGCCAAGCGGGCAAGTATGGGACCTGATCATCATAATTTGTCATCTGTCCCATTAAGGGTGGAGCCAGGAATTTTCTTTAAGGAAGATTTTAGTAAGACACAAAAATACATATTGCTTTGGCCTTGAGCCCTTCACATTGTTCCACAGAACATATACTCAGAACTTGTTATTGCTGACACATTTCAACCGACTTTGTTATGGAGGACTCATCAATATCATGTAGCGTTTTCGTACGTACCACCCATCAAACTGAAACCTTCTGGATTGGCTTGTTTTCAGTTCTTCTAAGTTCTACCTATGCCAGATTTATTGCGTGCTTTATGTAATGGGTTTCTCTTCCACTTCACCAAGTATAAATATATTTCAAATAAGCAAAGGGTGTCCAAAAAGGAAAACTTGCTTTTGCCAGGTGGAAAGGAATATGGCTAAAATTCACGAAATGTGAGATTTGTGTTGCAAGCAGAAAGTAGTATCAATTAGAGGGTGTCAATTGTCTTTAAATCCATTGCTGGTTGTAGATACGACTGTCAATGAACGGGATATTGGTCTAATCCGATCAGGTCTAGTATGAGTCCATTACATATATGGGTCTGGTTCAATCCAATCCGTTCAATACTTTGGACAATACTAGATCGGTTCAATTTAATGTCTGGATTGTCCAAACTGTTCAATAAGTTGGTTTTAATTTATATTAGGTCAAATCCAAACCTGGTCCATTGACACCGTAGTCTTATCTTATGTCAATGGACTGGATATTGGTTCAACTTGGTCCATCCAATATATATCCATTACAACTGGATCAGGTCCAATGCAATGCAATAAATACTTTAAACCATTATCTCTGGATTGATCCAATTCATTATGTCTTACTGGTCCATCCAATCCATTAAAATTGATTTTGATTCAGATAGGGTCCAATCCAAACTCAGTCCACTGACATCCCAAGTTGTAGTGGATGAATCTGATCTAGGGGTGTTCATTCAGTTGGTTCGGTTTGGAAATAGAACCTAACTGATATTTTGGTTAGGCCATTTTGTGGAACCAACTTGATTGCATGGTTTAGTAAGTAATAATTTTATAAAATAAAGGCCATTTTTGTTGTTCTATATGCCTAGAAAAGGATCGCTTTAATTTTTACTAGTTGGGCTTTGTTACACAAAATTGAAGTAGAAAGAGCCTTGTGAAATTTCTAATTGAGCCAAATCAATCTAAGCTGATTCAAGTATTATATTTTTGAGTTATGTTTAGTTGTTCTGACCACAATCCAAATTGAAACCCAAGTGAGAGTGGTTAATCTTGTATAGGGATGTCAATGGGTTAAATTCGACTTGACTCACCCCTACATGGTTAGGTTATGGTCAGGCTTATTAGGGTGTAGGATCATGTTTGAGTTTTGATCACGTGCAGGTTTGGCTGACTTGGTCCATTGGGTCATAATACCTCAACACATATAAAGGGTATTCTTGTAATTTAGTCTAACTGCTTACCCCCTAATGTTAAAGTTTATGATTTCTTTCAATGTTTGTTTTAACCCAAATTGGGTGTTCTTTTATATTATAGTTTTGATTATTTAACCCAAATCTGGTTCAGGTTTGGTTAACCCCTGCCCAACAAGTCATAATACTCCTACACATATAAATGATATTCTTATAAATTGGTCTTACTTCTAACTCCTAACCTTAAAGTATATGATTTTTCTTTTCTTTCACATTGGAGAAGTGATACCTTGGAACCCATTAACCAATTTTCAATTGAAAGACTACGAGACGGTTGTCTTCTTCCATATATGTGGACAAGACGTAATTGATTCAAGACGTAGTTGCCTTCTTCTAGATATTATTGAAGCTCTAATATGTGGACAAGATTAGTTGTCGGACAGATTTAGATATGAGTGAGTAAAAGAATATTATTTCTTACTTTATTTTTTAATTAACATGCTAATTTTTTTACAAGGTATGTATGTATCAGAAAATGCTTTCACTAATGAAAAAATTGGTTGGTCATTAGAAAATGTAAGAATTTGGCAATGGTTCAATAAATTAAGCCATTTATTTTTCTTTGAATTTAAGAAAGTGAATATATCCTTAATTTTTTTTTGTAGGATTGAATGAACGAGAAGATTGGCTTGGGAGATTGCATTTGGAGATTGCTTGTTACTTGTGATGGTTCTTGTACTAATGAAAAATTGGAGAATTCAAAATTGAACTTAGACTTGTTATTGGATTTATGGTTGAATGAGTTGTAATTTGTAAATTTATTGGGATTTTATGAATGGTTTTGAAAACTTGTTAAATGGTTTAAGACATTTAGAAATTGACTTTAGCTTGGAAGATGTTGAGAACTTTGAACTTATATCCAAATTTGATCATTAATGGTTTGATAACTCTTTTAGCAAAATTATTATTGTTTTTTATCAATTTTTTATGGTTATTATTAGCTTTTAGTAGATTTTTATTGTTAGTAACAGGTTTCACTTAATAACAAGTTTGTTATTATAATAGATTTGTTATTATTATGATTATAAGATGTTTGTTATTATTATAACATATTTAATGGTTTATTATGATTATCTTTTAGCAGGTTTTATTGCATTTTTAACAGGGTTTTATTTGCTTTATTATAACAGGTTGGTTTTTAATAGGTTGTATCTATTGACTTTTTAGTAGGTTTTTTATTGTTTCTTAGTAGAGTTTTTGTTGCCTTTAGGTTTTAGTAGGGTTTTATTGTATTTTTAGCAGGGGTATTATTGTCATTTTCAATAAGGTTATTATTGTCTTATTTTATTAGCATACATTTTATAATCGAGTCCATTAGGTTGGACCCGATTGTTCCAAGTACCGATTGGTTCGATTCTAGGTCCAAAGTTATAGACCCTATAGGGTTTGGGTCGATTCCAGGTCCCTAAGTTTTATCGATTTTGGGATCGGTTCTAGATGGTTCCGACCCAGAACCGACCCGTTGGCAAACCTACTGATAATATATAAAAAATGAGGTGATAAATAAGAGTTATTTTTATTAATGATAGAAACAAAATATAAAATTAAAACTAACTTGAAAATAGAATTATGTTTGCATCTA